TTTTTTACGTTTTTTTTAGCAACTTTTCCGAGTTTATTTGTTAAAATTTTGTTTACTTATTGTTCTAAAAGTCTAAAGTATTGTTTCGTATTCTATAAGGTTGAAAGATACTCTGAAATTTTTTTATATGTTTTAAACATTTTTAAAGTTATTTAATAAGCTCAGGACACGAACGACCCATGGACAGAAGTTACGTTGGTCGAAAATCAAAACAAAGGGCAGGGGCTGAGGGTTAATCTCGCTCGCGATCTGTCCGCGAGGAACTGTCTTCTCCAAAACCGTCAAGGAGAGAAGACTGTTTTACATAATTAATCAGGGGGGGAGGCGGGGGAATTGGAAAGAGATGCGAGTTCACTCACCTAGAGGTAGGTCGCAGAGCAGGCAGCACGCGGCGATAGCGCCCGCGGACGCGCCGCTTATCTTGTTCAGCAGCAAGTGCGGCGCGTACTTTTTGAAGCAGACCGCCACGCCGACGTGGTAGATGCCGAGGAAGCCGCAGCCAGCGAATGACAGATTCATGTTGCCCTTGTCGCTCCGACTTGGTGACGCGACGACAACACTCGCCGGATCGTTTTCCACGTCGTTCACTTCCTCCTTCCCTGTACCCTGCCTTCTTTCTCGCTTCCAAGGATCCGCACGAGTCCTTCACGCCCAGAAACGAAGGTTATACGCAACGGGTGTTCCGCGTTATCCGCGAAAAAATCGCGGTCACGATCACGGGATTACGCACACTCTCGTGTGCGAAAAGCGTGAAAGAAAAGCGCGGAGTAAAACGACGTTTTCGTCTCTTCCAAGGAACGCTGTCGATTTCGTGTGTAACGTTAACGTGTCTTCCAAGATGCGCGTTACGTTCGTGCCGACACGCGAGACGACACATGTACCACGACGGCCGATAGTGTACTGTCAACGAGCAACAGCTGTTGGCCGTTCGTTCCCGTCTCCCGATTAAGTACCCGAGCGCGTCGACGAAGAACAGAGAGAGCGAGATGATAAGGAAGAAAGGAAAGACGTTCATACACATCACGGGGGACCGACTGCAACAGCGATAACGCTCGCGCGATAACGAGAGAGGCCACGTATGACGTTACGCCGCGCGATTGGCTCGCGCCGGGTGGTGTGGTTCGCCGACCACGCCTACCACGTGCGGGCGTTCGCAAATGCACTCCAGCCAAGTCCGGCCAAGCCAGCCCGAATCCGTGAGAAATTGACCAATCACAGGGGAACATGAGAAGAATAGTCGACTGTGATTGGATTCAATTTTTTATGGCTAAAGGGTTTTTCGGGTGTTTTCGAAATCTATCTTTTGGGGTACGGTATATATAAACAATTTTATATATACTTATTAACGTGTAACTCTATATATTAATATAGATGTTTATATAGAGTTACACGTTACACTCTAATTATAATATAGATGTCTGTGATACCCACTGGCAGCATGGAAGCAAGCGAAATAAACTTAGGCCGGTATTCATAGTTATTTAATGCTAGGTGCTAGGTCTACAATGCAAGTCGTAAAGTCGTGAGTCATAAGAATTGACCAATCACAATCGAATTTGAGGAGAATAATCGACTGTGATTGGTCAATTCTTACGACTCACGACTTTACGACTCGCATTGTAGACCTAGCATAAAACCGTCTTAAGTTCAATCTTAAGATGTCATAAACCAATCACAGAGCCGTATTAGCGTCTTAAGACATTACTTAAGACGATCTTGAAGAATAAATACCGGCCTCAGACACAATGAGAAAAATAAGGAATAAGATAAAGAAATAAGAAATAAAGCATGTTGCATCTCACTTTAATGTACGTGTACTGAAGTGAGATGCGACATTCCCTTATTTCTTATTCCTTTGTCTTACTTTTTATTTTTCTAATTGTGTCTGAGCCCCTCCGTGTCTTGAAAAAAAAGATCGTCGCTGCACAAAATGCCGAGTATCTATCGGTAATACAGACCGTTGTTTACCGACAACGAGCTGCAAATAGTGCCGCGAATGACCACTGTTCGTCTTGAGTGGCCACGCCAATCGACCACGTCACAATTGGCTGATTTAAAATAAAAATATATCTGATTGGCTGGTCCAGCAGGTCCAGTGGAAAAATGTTGTCGCAACGTGGCACGTGGTCAAACGGTACGCTTCCTTCACCGCTTCAACACGTGGAAACAAGAAAATAAACTCTCTTACAAGTAAGTATAAGCTAGTATACTTTGTAGTATATAATTATAATAAATATATGATATTATGATATAGCATTTTGACATGCTAACAAAGCGCAAAGATAATTACATTTTATTATATTTTATTATATTATTACTTTATATCTTTTATCTTTTTTCAGAGAGAGAACATGACATCCAATTATCATTCTTCACATTGCGATAGTGATGTCCAATATCCTTATACTGACAGAGTAGTGGTAGGAGAGGATTATGTTGATTTCATATATCAATTTGTGAAGGACAGCAATATATCCGCAAAAAACTGTACGAATACTACTAGCATAAGTAATATTCGTAATAATATAATAGGAACACCTCGCAATTTTCCAAACCATGAAAATTTTCTTATGGTACGTATGTGCATTTTCTGATATTATCTGTTATTCACGAATATAAAAGAAGCGGACTAATTGAGACGCGATTGATGATGCGCAAAAGTTATTTTAAAGTTTTAAATTTTTATATATTTTCCAACTTTACATGGTAAACTGCGCGCCGACTAAATTGTCAGACTTGAAACACAGCTCTGGGTTGGAATAGTAATAATCCTCTCCTGATATTATATCTGTATTATTATTATCTCTATAATTATTATTATTCTATACAATTATTATATTTCTATAGAAAGTAATCGCAATCTAATTTTATGCTACAACATTTGGTAATAGTCAGTACTTTTTTCCAAGTAGCAAAGATGACGTCATAGACGTTATTAAGACGTCATTTGACGTCACTTTATTATAATTGGGTTTTTGCTTTTTATTACAGAAGAAGTATGATTTCGATATTTCAATATCTCCATGGCAGAAACAAGTGCCATATACTTTTGCATCACAGCGTTTTAGAGATACTTATTATCATGATATTGGTAAGTAACATTTGAATTGATAAACAAGATATTGGCAAGAAAAATGTTTATGTTAAGAAAAGGTTTTCTATTTAAATTTTCTATTTTGAAGATCTTGAATTTCATGAAGCTGTATATCCAATCCGAGTCTCTATATATGAAGTATATAATTATGGGAACGTAACTGAAGTTTGGGCCCAAGATTCTGATGATGAGAGTCGGTGGCTTCTATTGTGGGATGGAGACCCTCAGTTCTACGGAATTTCTACATCCAATAGACGCAGACATTCGGAATCACGGATATTTTCCCCGATTTTACGGTCTTGTAACCAAAGGTTTAAAACCAAAAAGCTTAGACTACAATTTATATCCAACTCTTGCACACAGCTAGATGCTGTGTTGCTGATCGGTACATCAAAATTGATTTTACCTAAAAATCCTGAAGATGAGAGTTTATCGAGTTTATCTGAACTGTTACATCGCATTTGGGTACAAAGACATTCTTGCTCGAGTTATTGTATTTGTTGTTCTAAACAAAAACAAAATGACTTTCAAAAGAAAGATGCTTGGAACATGTATCTATTGGAGGACTTTCATAATACAACACGTGATTATGAAAATGCACACTCGGATATACTTGATCTTCAAAAGGAATTTCCTAAATATTGCGTTATTTGTAAAAGGTATTATAATTGTCGATATTAAGTAACATTCAATCTTATTTTATTTACTTAATAATGAAAATGTGTTTCAATGTTATTTGCAGCGATGTAGCAACGAGTTTTCACAAGAGTAAGCTCGCGCACAAGCAAGTATCTCGAGAGGAAGATGTGCCATCTTCTAAACAGGGACATGTGAATCACCCTTTATTAAGAAATCATTGGAATTATGTAAAATTTATAGAAGATATCAAACTCTCTTCGGGAGACTCCAAGGAGCAACTTGACAGTTTTTCTGCGTTTTCTGTAAAATATTTTTGAAGTTTATTTTTCGTTATAATTTATTACAACATAATCTCATTTATTAAAATTTTATGTTTTGTTTTTGCAGGATGAAATAATACTAATGATATTAAAATACTTGGATATGAGGTCGTTTTGCCGTATGAGCAAAGTAAATAAACGCCTCAATAATTTAACACAGGATCCTTTTCTCTTTAAATGTTTGAACTTGCGAAATTTAAGAAAAGAGTACTCTAGGGATTCATCCTTTTGTTATGATAAAATTCTGTCTTATTTTGCATCCAAATGTAAATATTTACAACAGTTGGATCTTACAGCGAGCTGCATTTCTGCTCCGGATTTCGTAAACTTTCTTCAGAGTTGCGGCGATGGTTTAACGCACTTACGATTAACTAGCTGCAATTTTGTTGACAAATTATCTATATTAAAAATTTCAGAGATATGCAAAAATTTGAAAGGTACATAAATAAATATGATTGTTAAGATTACAGATAAACCGTATGTGACTAATATATACATTTTTTTTTGTTTTTTGTTTAGTATTGGATCTCAGTTATTGTACTCTGGAGGGAATGGACCAAGAAGTTTTGAGTCTCGGAAATCTAGAATTTCTAGAGAAATTAGACCTTGGATGGTGCGGTATAAGAGCTGAATCTCTTTGCAAAATACTGCAAAAAACTCGCCGGATGCGTGACTTAAATTTGAACATGCTGTCTTTTTCGTACGATGATAGAAGATTATTACATTTAGACGCAATCACAATACAGTTAAAAAATTCGTGTCCAGACTTGGAAATAATAGATTTATCGGGCAATATTATTACATTGCAAGGTATTCATGCCCTCGCTGAATGCAAGAATTTACGAAAACTGACAATGATGGAGATGTACGTGTGTGCTAGATTTTCTTTTAAAACACATATTCTTTATCAAAATGTTTATTTACATTTCTTGCAAACATTATGAAATGGTTATGTTGTTTTTCTTATTGCGATTGAAAAACCGTATAATAATATGACTTTTGTTACAGAAACATATTCGCACCGGCAGGATATTGCATAATCGATAAGCATAGCTTGCATAGATTGTTTTCCTCCTGTCAACGCTTAGAAGAAGTCAATTTGATAGATCTCAATTCTGTGCACTATCCCAATTTCTACGTCCACGATGACGATCTGACACTGTGTAAAAACTTAAGACAATTATACTTGTGGGGTATATCTAGTTTCGCAATTCTTGAGCAGTGTCCTAAACTACAAACAATCTACGTTCTGCGGGACGGGTCCATCGCCATGGACGGGTCCATGCGTGATGGCCAGGCGTTCGTTGCTCAGGCGAAGGAAAAATATCCACACGTGTCCATCCTTAAATATCAACCCAGGGGGAGATGGTAAATCGGATCGACATCGATGAGACGTCGATGGCGTCTACAGCTTTAAAAGCAATTCGATCTTGATGATAATGATGAGGGATATTATGATGATGAAGGAAGGTGGCAGTCTTACCAATTTGGCTGAAATTTAACAATATATTATGTATTTTGGCGTGTTAAATTCGAATATAAAAGCTAAAATCGTCGCTATCAAGTAGAAACAAAAGTTATAAAGTACTAAAAGTGACAATTTTCGGGTTAAGAAATATTCTATATCGACATCAGGGTATGTATACAGGTACATACATGAGTATCAGAGAAAGCATGCGCAGTGATGTAAAAGTGCACAAAATTTGAAATAAATAAGAGTTTTGATATGATTCTTGTATATTTACATATATTATAGTATAAAAAAAATTTAGAAGTTTGCGAGGGAGGGCCTCCACCCTTTCCTCTGCACTCCCACGCTCAAAAAAACTTTTCCAAACCTAAACCTATTTCTGACAAACTGAAATTTGATTTTGCACTTTTAATCCATGCGTGATAAGCACTTTCTTGCTTGTAATTAAAAATTAAATAAATCATTACATTAAATGAAAATATATTCTATATATAAAAAAAATATAAAGTAATAAAAGAAATATAGATACGATAGAAGACGACATAATAACTTTTTTCGAAACACTGGATTCTGTATAAAAACGGAGTCACGTGGTCGTGCCTCACGCATGCGCGTCAGCCTATAGCGTGCGAAAAATTCATCGCACGGTCCTCTCCTCCTATTTCTCCATTTCGCGGACACCCAATAGGGCAGCGATCATGTAATTTTTTCCCCGAAGCGGGGGGAGGGAAAGAATGTAAGAAGTGAAAAGTGTGAAGTGTTCCTGACGTTTCGCGTGCTCCTGACAGTTCGTGCGATCATATATATAACCCGTGTCTTCGATCGACATGGATCGACACGTGATCGCTTTGTGACTCGCGAAGTAGGTTCACGGCGCGAAGTACGTTCACGCCACGCCAGTTCACCTCAGTTCACGCGGAATCGGAATGAGCGAAGGGCAGCGAAGTGTTTCGCTCGGAGTTACGTGATCGGTGGTGGCCCACGGCACGCAACGACGACGGAGATGTGCGCGCGTCCCCTCGCCCCGCGTTCATAGAGTGGACGCTGCGATTTTGACCATTTTGACGACGCGCAGTAATGTCGCGCGGCTCGCAGACATCCGCCCGATTCTCGTCGGCGCCGGCGGCGTCGCGCCACCAGGACGTCGCGGTCGCGCCGCTGCCGAAGGCCCTGACGGACGAGTCGACGTTGGCGAGGTATTTCCGCGCGGGCAACCAGCGCGGCATCGCCGTGTACCTCGACCAGCTCAAGAGCGACCCGAAACGATGCAGGGAGTTCGCCAAGCGAGCCAACTGCCTCGACATCCTCGTCCAGCTTCTGCGCTGCGAGAACCACCGGATCGTCGACCGGAGCCTGAGCATACTCGCGGACGTTTGCATGACCGACGACGTCAGGGAGAAGGTATATGCTCCTTTCGCCTCTACTCCAGGTGTAGGAATCGTTGTTGATGCTTTCTCAATTTGGAGTTGGTTTCCTCCGATTAGAGTCTTATCACGTCTGAATAGGCTTGTCAACGTTGCTTTGTAGATAACATATAAAGAAATATACTCCGAAGCAATATATATTGGCCAATCATTCTATCTAATAATCATAATAGATTAACAGTCATGATACATGTATATCTAACGATCATAATATATGAATGTCTAAGTGCCTTCTGAATATACATGAGGTCTGTTCTTTACAGTTTTTGTATTTGAATTGAGTATATATAATTTAGACGTTGGAGAGAAAGAGAGTAAATTAGAATGTTCATCTAGAAGGAATAGATTTAAGCACTTGACCCATTCCCAGGATTGACGCTGCATGTCACGTGTTTGGAACATATCTATGAGAAGCGCAAAAATGTTTATTTTCTTTTCACACATCGATTGTCAACAATGCCCAACTTTTCAGTAGTGTCGTGATGACGCTTTGGAAAGCGTCTTGGTGCTATTGAAATTTTTTTTAAACACTTGTAAAAAAATGCTGTCTTATGTAAAATTTTAGATGAGCTAAAAACCAAATAGAAAGCGCACTACGCAACACTACCTATGAAGATACAGTCTTATTTAACATATACAATATTTTATTATTATATTCTTATAATAATAAAAAAAATTCTACTGTGGTATACATGCGAGACATATAAAACTTGCCGGACAGACAACTTATTTGTAAAAGTCATTTTAATTAATAATTATCTTCCATTTCATCGCTAATATAATAATGCAGTCCGTATTATATGAAATAATTGCCGCCTAAGTTTATCAAGTATATTCTAAGAGATATGTTCTATAAAGCTGCATAATGTCATTTTTTTCTGCGCTCAAAATAAATCTATAATTAGAGAGTAGAAGCAAAGGAAACAAGACGAAGAATGCAGGAGGTACAATAGATTAAATATTTCTTTTCGATCCTCATTCTTATTCTATTCAGACGCAGGGTGTAGATATTTTTGTTCTCTATGTTTCACTTACTTCCTTTGGTCTGATATGGTCGTATATCATGCGTGGTAAATGTGAGTGGAAGAACAGGAAGAGAATCTTAGGAGCATTCAACTGATTCATAATATAGACGAGATTAGATTGGGGCAATGCACTATATGGACGAGTGTATAGGAAATGTAACATGAAGTAAAGTTGACAATGTGTAAAAAAAATAAGAGAAATGATATAGAAACATTAGTATATTACTTTATGTTATATTTGTGATAATGCTAATAATAATAATATTAATAAAAATATGTCAGAAGACGTCAAATTAAAATAAATGATAAAACAGAAGATGATAATATAGGATAACAAAAAGTATTTTTTTTTATTGTGTATAAGTTGTGTATAAGTGAATTGTAAAATTTCAGGTAAAGAACAGCAAGATAGGATTCAACGTAGTATTCATAATAGAAAACCTCGAGTGGAATGCCATGCTGCACTGTCGTGCTTGCAGGCTCGTCAGTAACTTATCGGAATGTAGCTGGCACGCTGAAGAATTATGCAATGCTGGAGTGATGAAAGCACTTGTGACACTCCTAACGTCAAAAACCGACGTTCAAACTTATTGCATGGCTGTCAGAGCTGTAAGGTACAAAATTATTCTCGATTCCATAAATGTAATTTCTCTTTTATGCTGTATTTGTTTCAACTGTATTTATTTCATTATAAATTTCACGCATTTTATGTTATAATTATAGATATCTGTTTCAATTATATATTCTATTACATTTGCAGGAATATCTGGAACGTTTACAAAAACATTAGGGAGACGATGGTGGAGTTGGAAATCGTCAAGCTGATTGCTCAATTATTCGTTACGGCCGAAGAGAGGTCCAATGTGGATGCTAAGTACGGCAGACTCGTGGACGCGTGCTTGAAGGCCATGTGTACATTTCTCGACACTTTAGACCCGCGATGCGCACAACAGATGCATGTGAACAAGAACATGTGGGGCTACAAGTGTCTTATGCGTTGCTGTAGCACGGGCAACAATAAGATGGCTGTTAAATGCCTTTATACTCTCTGTCAGATAGCGGAATGTCGATTAAATCTAGGTATTTCTGGCACGGTCGAGGAGCTCATAGCGTTGATAAACACGGCGGACGCCAACTCCAACCTTCTGTGCAAGGAGATGCTGATTAGCCTGTGTTTGTTTTGTCGAGAAGCAGTAAATCGAGACAAGATCAGGCAGAGCGATGGATTGCAGGTTATCCTGGCGCTGTTGAACAAGCCGGAGCACGAACATCACCATCTCAAATTGTTGGAAGCTCTCTCACTGTTCATCCACGACGAAATCGGCCTCGACATTCTGACGAGACACGGCATATTGGAGGTTCTAGTAGCGAAACTGACGAATGTCGTAGCTAAGAACAGTGAAAGGAACAGCGCATCAAGAAAACGTCCCAGCGACTACCTGATCGAGGATTATTACAAGAAACCTTCCAAGTACTCCACTTCGAGGTGAAATAAATTACATAATATGTATATTTAGGATATATAACATCCGAATCTTTTAATCTCTAGGATATATGACATCCGAGTTTATATTGAAATTAACTACATTTAATCACTTTGCAATTCAGATACAGTATGGATTACTACCGCGACGATTGGAGTCCGAGGAGCGCTACAAGTGCCTCCTCCTCGTCGTCACCTAGCACACCGCCCTTGCCACCTTACTTCGACTTGAACGCAGAAATTGATGATCTCGAAGATGACGTTTACAGCCCGGTTTACAGCGATAAAGAATGCGATAACGAAGGTACATTATCTTTCTTTATTACCGTAGACAGATTTTTTTTTATTTTGCTACATGTGATTTGATCGCAATTAAGATCTTGGACAAAGTATATTTCAAGTCATTCGTTTTAATTAAATTAATGCTTCCGCATGTTCTGTTGTAGAAGAAGAAGCTGCTTCCCCTAAGAGCTACAAATCATTAACAACTGTCGAAGCTGATTCCGATTCTTCTTCTCTCAACTCTGAGACATCTTCGGAAACGAATGCTTGTGAATACTATACGTTATTTCTGCTGAGTAAACTGAGTCTCTCCGTTAAGCCCATCGACAAATTGGCTGAGTCCACGACCATCAAATCGTTGATGGATTATATAAAATACACAAAAAAGCAAAACGCCCTAAAAAGCACCGCAATCAAAATATTGGCGAGAATCATGGGGTAAGATTTCTCAAATTATAAACTTCGCGTTTACACAATTGTTCCTTTCGCATTTATATTCGTGGTTTTAGAAAGATTTCATTCGCATAACGTTTATATTTTTCCTAATTCACTTTGTCCAGGAACCCGGTGTATTTCATGCCGTTGCTGAAGCAGGGAGTGGTATTTGAAATGCAAACTCTGCCGGAAACGGAAGAATGCACGTCCTATTTGCGCACGGTGGCGGAAACCGGCGGTGCCATCGGGCAGCTATCGTTTATATTGCAGCGCGGCGAAGAGGAGGACAAACTGCTGACCGCGGTATCGATACCGCTTCTCATTAAAACACAGTGTACTCTCAAGTGTTTGCTGAAGAAATGCGGTGGACTGCAACTGATATTCGATCTGCTAACAGATTCGTCGCATAAGTTACACAAGCGGGCGATCTGGTCAATCTGCCAGTTGGCGAAAGCGCTTGAGATCCATTTGGACGATTACTCGATCACTGAAACGATGACAAAGGTCGGCGAGCTGTGCGATTACCCGAGATTACCTTTCGGCGAGAGAAATCGTACGAAATCACCTGTATCCTCGATGGTGACGTTCGAGCTGGATGACGGCACGACCATTAAGGCTTGCAGGCGAATGCTATGCAAGTGTTCGCCCGTCTTCTCCGTCATGCTGGAGGGTAACTTCAGCGAGTCGAGTAAAAAACGAATACGATTGAGGGACGTGTCGCGCGACGGCTTGAAGACGCTGATACTAGCGGCGAGCGGTGCCGCTAGCATTGTATATACGTTCGAGAATCGAAGCATCGAGTCGCTGCTGGACGCTGTGCTGCTGGCCGACTATTTCCTCATGCCGGACCTGGTAGACACGCTGACTGAGAAATCCTTAAATAAGCTCAATCACGAGAACATCTGTCGAGCTTGGCGTTGGGCCAGGAACCACTCCTGTCACGAATTTAGATCTTATTGTGTCAGGAGCTTACTAACCGCGAAAATGTCGTGGAGTGAAACGATGCGGACGTTCCGTGAGTTCTACATCGCCAATGCCTTCGACGATTTACTATGCGAGATCAAGGACGAGTTACTATGCGACATCAAGGACATAATCATGGATGTGTTGTGCCAATGTTAAAGACATTGGAAAGACAGTTATCGAATTCGGATCAGTGCAATTATGATGAATAAGGATGATTTTTCGATCTGTACAATAAATCTTCGAAGAATGGGCTCTAAGATAATAATAGAGTAAACTTGACTTTTTTATCATTAATTTATGTTTGCTCTAGTCTCCGGAATCTTTTTATGGAAATTCTTTGCATAAGCATGGCGCATTTCTAATGGCGAGGTTATTTGATAATTATACAGGACGTCTCTGAAAAAAATAATCTTTTTAATAAAGGTGATAGGAGAGGTGAAGTGGAGTAAAAAATGTTGTAGCAATAATGTCGAAAACGCATAGTTAGTCAGATAAATGTTGATAAGTTTTCGATACGACCACCATTTTTCTTATGCAAAATTCAATTTGTTGCAAAAGTTATTGCTGTATCTCTTGTACATCTGCAACAACAATGTTACTTACAGCAATGATAGAATTCCAAAAATTCTCTTTATTTTTGAATGTATTTGTATAAACTATTCGTCTTATTGCATCTCAAACATAAAAGTCTGAATAAATTATAAAAAGAATCAAGATCGTGTGTTTAAAAACGATGTAAAAAGTTCGAGTCAATAAAATTCAAGAAGATCATGTAATCGAAATGCAGACATAAAATCATATCTGTGATCTGTGAAGTTTATCAGAGTTTAAGTAATGTTATTAATATTAAACATTGATGCGTTTAACAGTTTATTTAACATTTATCTAATAAGATATGCATTTTTGATATTATTAGAGGCATCTTTTTCAGAGACACATATTCTTGTAACTATCGTTAAACATCTCTCGTTACATATATTAATTCTGTACATATGTTAAGATGTTCCAAGCATTTGTACATAATACAGTTAACAAATAGAAATACTTATAAAATCATCATCTTCCATGTATTAATGTTTTTTTGTATTTAAAAATATACAATAAATTCTGTTCATGAAATGTCTCAAAAATATAATTATGTGTATTGTAGATAAAAATCATGAGAACAAACTGCTCTTGTACATTCGCTTTTCTAGATGCATCGCCTATTTTTAAGGGTGTCTCATAAGTAATATACAGTCTTTTTGAGATATCTCTTTTTTAATATGCCAATACAAAGTGCATTTCTCGATTTTTCTTGCATAATATAATTCTTGGTGTAAAAATCTTAATACTCCTGCTATATAAGCCTATTTACAATTTTTATAATAAAATTTATTATGAAATTTTATTTGAATTGACATAAAATAAATTCGTTTGACAGCGAAATATTCTTTCGAATAATGTTAATTCAAGATATTTTTTCACATATTTTATTATAAATATATAAATATTAAACTTAATTTAAACAGAATTACTAAAATACGAATCAAGATGTAATAAATGCACTATGTATATTGGCTTATTAAAAAAATTAGATATCTCGATAACAATCCAGAAATTTTAAGAAAAAAATTACTTATTTTTTTATAAGGAATACGATAGTATCGGTTTATACAGGATACCCCCATTAAACACCCTATATATGTGTTTATGAACGCGTATATATACGCATTCGACAAATATAATGAATTATATATATATATATACAATTTAATTCCTTACATCACGTCAATAATAAAATTCTCGTCAGTCGTAATCATTTAACGTCTTCGTTATATTTTTCTGTCAGTCAGCTTCAGTTTGATTGGTTCTGATGGCACGGAGATCAAATGCAAAATCATCTTAATGCTGTCTCGATTTTCGCACTCAATCTTGAAATGTTTAATGAGCTACAAGGAAACAATATACGGTTGTAGTTACGAATTGGAATTAATTGCACGATTGGTGACTCACCTGCGCCAACGTAAGAGACAATTGGGTTTCCGCGAGTCTGCGACCGATGCAGTTCCTCAAGCCTGCCGCGAATGGTACACTGGCACGTGCGTCTTTCACTCCCTGACAGTCGCGTGAATCTTCGGTCACTCTCAGCCACCTTTCTGGCCAGAAGTCGTTAGGCCGTGAAAAATATTTCTCATCGCGGCCGCTCGAATAAAGCGATATGAGAATTAACTCCTAGAAAAAAAAAGAAAGTAATTTCTTTCAATTAGTTATCTCACCTAACGGCTCGCTCGGCGGAGCGAATGATTTGCAAGTGGGCTAATTTTACGGCGAATCTTTTTTACCCCTTTTGGCACAAAATAACCGCCAATTGTGGCGTCCACCGGCAAGTATCTCGTAAGGAATGGCGCGACGGGATGCAGCCTCAGAGTTTCCTTCCACGTACTCCTTAACAGCATATGTTTTGCAAGTTCCTCCGGTGACAAGTCTTTGATGTCATGGAATAATCGATCTTGCAGCTCGGGGCGACCACTGAGCAATATCAATGCCCATTGCAGGGTAACCGATGTCTAAATAAGCGATCGCAGATTTATAATTTTGCTATACAGAATGTCCCATCGCTTTAATTATTAAAATAATAAGAATATATAATATCAATTTCAAAACAATTAATTTGAAGTTAAAATCGACTTTTTCGCCAACTAAAATAACTTTTGGCTAAAGTTCAATTGTAAATGCCAAATTAGTGATTTCAAATAATTATGCCCCTTCCCCTCCTTACTTAATTTTAGATTTAAATTTGTCTCGTATTATTATACATATATATCTCGTAACCAAGTAATACAAACTAGAAGAACTAATAATTCAATTTTAAATAAATTAAGAACGTAGGGAAAGAGGGAGATAAACTCTTTTTCATATAAAGCCTTGTTATATCATTCATTTTAATTCCTTAAAAAATTTGCTTTAAGACGAATAGTACCTTTTTTCTTGTTACTCTAAATTTTGATAATTCATAGAACATTCTGAATATATTTATAAATTAAAAAACGTACTGTGTCACCGGCGGCTATGATGAAATCGGTGATGATTCTGTCCACCTTATCGTTGTCAACACCGTTATTCATAATCATTTTCAGAACTCCGTCACCATCAAGCTGAATTAAATGCGGCACCAGATTCTGCACCTTGTCCAGCACCGTATCGACAGTCTCAACGAACTTGGTCCACACTGGTAATTTGAGCTTCATCGCCAACTTGGGCGGCATCATCGAAAGAGTTGCGGAGTATATGAAAACCCGGTGTAACATCAATGCCACGTACTCTATCTCAGAACGTATTCCCGACCCGCAATCCCGCCATCGCGAACCTATCAGACTCGCTAGCATCACTATAAAAGAAATTGACACGTCGATCAGCATTGTTGTTAATTGCAAATAATCATTTAATCGTTTAATCTTAATTTTACGCAATTGCGAATAATCGTTTAATCATTTAATCGTAATTTTACGCAATCGACGAGTGTGCGCGTAATGCACTAATAAATGATATAAATGTTATTTAAGAAAATATATAATTTAATAATTAATAACAGCAAATTAATTGTTAAAAATGTTATCACGCAATCGCTCTCTAAAGTTTACCCTCGATGGACCACTGATACAGTTGATGTTCCAGGTCCGGTATTGTACAGCCGGTTTGGCTGAATGTTTTCCATTTCCTCGCGAGATTTTCAGCAGCTTCCTGGCACGGTACAAGAAAAGTCTTTGGTTGAGGCTTCAACATCACTTGATTGAGAATTTGCCGATGTTGCCACCACTCTTGTCCGTCCCTATCCCAAAAACCCAACGTTCTTTCGTTATCGAACTGTTTTACGATAAGTCGAATTGTTTCGCTTGAGAGAAAGAGAACTCAGACGAACGATACGTTTGATTAAAAAATTATTTTAAAAAAATTGAAATTTTTATTCTTCTAAAGCATCTTAAACTTTTTAGATACGTTATTTTGTAATCTCATCTAATATTATTATCTAATTCTATTAGACTTTTTCAGAAGAATAACATACCAATGGGAGAATAACATTGTACATACATGAAGAGCAGACCTCGATACTGCTCTCGGATCTCGTTGTACAGCCTCCAGGCTTCCGGCAAGAAATGCTGCGGCGTGGGGCCCGCGAGATCGATTAATATCTTACGATATTCATCGGGCGAACTGACGAAAACGGCTCGCACCGGTCCAATCCGTTCCCTGAAGACCGGTCCAAGTTCTCGGTGCCTTTTGTCCACGTATTCGTGCAGTTTCTCCGCGCCACCGGCCGATATCAGGGACAGCATCGTGCCGAACAAGGGGAGACCTCGCGGCTCGGGTGGATCCTTTCTCGCCGAAGTGCCGAAATTTCGCGCCAAGTTCCTTACCGAGTCTCGACCGGTGATGTTCCACGAAGGAGGAGCAGTAGCAGCATTGTTCTCGTTCAGTGTTAAAGGTCGTGAATCGAATCCAAATGCTCCGCGCTTGGTGAACGAGACGTTGAAGTCGTCGCGATGGTTCATCGACCTTGCGAATCTCCGTATTGCTCTTCGCGTAGTATGCATCTCTCCAGCGACACCGGGTATACAGCAAGACCGAGAGACGAGTGTGCAGCTTCGCTGTCAACGAGAAATCAGATCGTGATCGTATCGAATCTGATACGCGTATACCGATTCAGCGCTTCGCGATTCAGCAATTTTTTCTTCAAGTCGACGAAATTATTACAAGACGAATAATGTATGCAAACGAGAATAAGCAAGTTTTATAAAAATACAGGCAAACGAAAAGAAAACATCGGTTTAACGTACCGCGGCATGTAATTTCATTGTTTTGAAATACATGTAAATACAATACCGCTCTTTGGCGCGTTTAAATAATGTAACATAACACGGTTGAGTTGTTTGTTTCGAACGCTAAACAGGATCTTGTATCCGGAGGATGTATCTGTGGAGGCGGTATCCGGATATCCCACCGATATTTCTTCACCTTTCGTGCTGTCCTAACATAACTCATTATGCGCGCTGAATCAGGAGATAAGAAGCGCAGTTAAGAAAACAGGATGGTATATAAGTAAAATGATATTATGCACGCACGCGCGTTGCGTGTGATTTTAATTTTAAGATTAATTAAAAAAATACAATTTGTCGAGATATTCCACGTCTTTATCTCTAAAATATAATTTTTATCTTATACTCAATATGTTTGTGCTATGAAATATCTAATTTCGTTGAAGCAGATGTAAGCTCTCGCTTTGTTTTTCGTATTCGAGTATAGAAAAAAAAAACATTTTTTGTTAAAAAAGTAAAGAATTTTTCAATTAAAAACGCGCAATTTTCACTCTAGGATTATTTTTTCTAATAAATAAAAATATTACGATAGAAATGTCAAGCTTAAATTTGAACAGCTGGTACAATACCTCCTTTTTTAAATTTTATCATTTGTAACAAATTATATATTTACATGCGCTCGAATAAGGCCGTATAGTCCATAAAATCATATGTATTATTTTTAACACAGTACAATAATGTACGTAAAGTATGAACAACTTTTTAAGGGAGATAGGAACTGTCTCACGCGAGCGAAGTGTGTGTGATTGCGTCAACGGACCAAATCTCAAAGCGCACTTAACGATAATGCACTATCCTTTTGGTCCAGTGTTTCTCAAATATACGTGTCAATTCAGTTCGGCAGTTTTAACTTTAAACGATTACGTTCTGCTTCGTCTTTAAAAGTTATACTGTGATCTCGTTCGATTTGCAATCAATCTTTCCTCCATCGCGATATTAAAGTTTATCGATTTATTTAATAAAATTCAATGAAATAAATTGTAATCGAGGCAAACTAAATTCAACCCGCCGGTGAAAAAAGAACAAAACGGTTCGAACCGGTTGGCATTTCAAAAAGATCGTTAAGAAGACCTAAATAGTTGTTAGTAACACAATAACATGAATGTATACACACCAATATTCGTGTTTCGGTTCTAATTAGTTCCTCTTCTTATATCGTTATAGTATATTGGAATTATCGAGCTATTAACATCGCCGCCTTATTACAGAACGTTGTATTTGAAAACTGAGACTTGCGTGACTCCTCCGTGTTCTCTCCTTCGTTATACCCAGCGTCTGGAGGCTCGAACTCCGTACGCGAACTCACGTACGTGCCGGTCCAACAAACTATGCTCGATTCTCCGGGGTCAAACTGTCGAACTCGTCTGGCAAGCATCGCGATCCTCACTCTACCGCGCATGCGGCCTCCTGGTTGCCGGTCGCCCGGCAAACCGGCCGGAAGCGGAGCCGACCGGAAGCGGTGCGGAGCGTAGTCCCGAGCCGATCGAGACGACCTTCTGCCTTCCACGCGAGACTGGATTCACGACAGGCTTGCAGGAGGAGATCGGGTACCGTTATCTGGAACTGCGCCGCCGTTTTATCCCTCGCGTCTCGAATTAGAGGCGCAATCGAATCCGTTCTTCCCGGGTTTCTATATAAGACAATTTAATTATCATTATACGCTAAAGCTCAGATTAATTTCATGATATTCGCTATTGAACAATTTTTTTTTTTACAGGGAATTATCGTCGTTGACTCGCCGTTTAAATTTTCTTACATCTTTTAAAGGATAAAGACGACCAGGCGCGTTCAAGGCGCGTCTCACCTTCGACGCGGGAAAAAGAAAATAAGAGAATTCTTCTCTCCGAGAAATTTTTAAATCACCCGGGGCAGGCGCCTGCAAATAAGGCACAGAAATCTGAATGTCAAAATAGCTGAGACACGGTCCGTCGAGAGCAGAGAGACAGAACACGTCGATTACATCCCGAGATATGCTAAGTTTATTCAAAGTGAATCGACTAGAGTTTTATGTCGCGCCTAGCTGCGTTCCCGGCCCAGAGATCCTCTAAGATTTCGGATGCATCTGATATATACCTGATAAACAAGGCACCATCTCCACCTTCTTTCCCTTCCTCCTCTTCCTCTTCCATTTCGCGTCTACAAAACAAGCGAGAGATGGGAGTTGTGACACGTTTTAGCTCGATAAATAATCATCTATAAATGTCCTTTTTGTCGGAGAGTTGAAAAGTCTTCTTACCTTTTGCGACGACGAGGTTTAAACGCCATTCGGCCCTTCCGTTTTCTTCCTTAATTGTCCCTAATTGTCTTTCATTTTGACTGAATCTCCTTCGAGCCTTCGGATAGCTTAAAAAAAATCTAAATCTAAATAAATGCGGAATGGAGGGGAAGGAGAAAATAGAGAAGAAAGAAACTGCGGATAAAAAAGAGCGCGACCAAACCTGTTCATCTCGCATCAACAAACAAACCACACATTGACGTTTGCTATTTTCACATAATTAATCAAACGCGTAATATCACAGTCGTGCATTGTTGAAGACAAAAGCAGTATTTTTTGCGCGATCGATCTCGGTTCCTTCATCAAGAGCCTCCGTTTTTTTCCAACGGCCGTTCTCCAGCCGGCGAAAACCCGTCAGTTCGCGATTTGAAGTGCGCGGAGTATCGATATCTCCCATCTCGATCGGAGTATCGATATCGCCGCTGGGGGCGCGAGGCGGCCCTCCCCCCCCTAGACTCCTAGACCCCACTGTTCGTGCCATATGATCCAAATTAATTCTCGCGCGCCGCGCGACACTTTCGGACGCGACGCTCACCGCGACGGCGTTATCGCGGCGTTATCAGACAACGAGGTATCGATCGATCATCTATCAGTCATCGGGTTCGGGTATCGGCGTCAGTCGTCCTTGCCGTTCTCGCGCCGTGATCTCCGTGTAATCCCCGGTTCCCCCGGCATTGGTGGCCGAGGAACGTCGTCGCGCACCTGACCCGTGGAGCTGCACCGCGCTGCACCCTCGCACCTCGCACTGCCGTCCTACCTGCACCCTCACCTTTATCCATTTTCTCTCTCTCCCTCCGATGCGCGTTCGCCGCGCGTTGCGGGGCGCAGAAAGTGCGAGCGAGTCGTGAAACCGCTACCGTTGACGAGAAGGAGAAAGGGGGAGAGAGAGAGAGAGAGAGAGAGAGAAAGAAAAAGAAAGAGAGAGAGAGAGATTGAGATCGGACCGGACGATCCCACCTGTGATCTGTAATCTGTGATCTGCTTGTGATCCCCTGCGTCCCGCGATCCCGACGGACGTCGTCTCCAGCCGAGACCGAATCCCCCCTCCCCCTCCCGACGCGATGGACATCGACGCCGAGACCTGTCTCAAGGACTGGAACGACCTGGCGCAGGACTACAAGGAACTCGAGGTGAGGATCTCGGCCTCGGCCCCCTGTAACAGAACGGGGCCGACGAGGTTAGGTCTCGTTCCCCTCGCGTCACGTCTGCATGATCGCATCGTGATCCGCGGATCGCGGTGCGGTGCCGACCTGGACGGCGGGAAGGAGAGGGAAGGAGAGAAATCCGTGGTTTCGCCGATTTTTCGCGAGCGTCACGTGACGCTCGCGTGGCCTTGACGATAAAATCGATCACGCGCGAGCGATCTGGCGCCGTGTATTTTTTCAGGATTAATTACCGATTCCGATTAACGATGCTGCATTTTAATAGCGAGTGATGTTGCGGAATTTTAATAATAACCGCGATAATTGTAGCGCTCGCGCAATTGTACTTATTCCTCATTATTTTATTTTATGCAATATGACAGTTGTGAAGAAATAAAGCAACATGAATTAGATTAATAAAATAAAAATGTATGAATTATGCGAGAGATAATAGAAAAAATACAGTAAGAATAATGATCATTATCGATTGGTCACGAATCATACTTGAGATCTGTGATCATCGCTCATTAACTGATAATCAAGATATTGGAGGATATCGCTGTTGTGTTCTAAAGAGACATTTTTTTATTTGCAGGCACTAAATAGGGAATATCTTTTGAAATTGGAAGAAATTGGTGAGCTGCAAGCAAAATGTGTCAAAGGTATCTCCCACCAGAAATACCGGATGGGTGTAATATCCAAGTCTTTGAAACAGTAAGTTTGCATAGTGTCAGCTTGCATATTTTTCTCAGAAGCATATGCGATGATGTTTAAGAATTTAATTATATTAATTATGCAAGCTAATATATTTTTTTATTAAGTATTTAGAAAAGTACATGGATGGGAATAATTGGAGCATCCGTAATTGTTGAAATTGAAGTATTGTAACCGATAATCTGTGATTTTTATATTTCTAGGCTGAGTACAAAAGAAGCACGAGAAGACTTGCGGAAATCTATGACGAGGAGAGAACAGCAGCTTAGGGAGATGGAACAAACGCTACCTAAACAAAACGGCGTTTACTTACAAATTATTCTGGGCAGTGTCAATGTCTCCATATTAAATAACAACGACAAGTATGTTACTGTTAAGGATCAAATCTTAACGCATCTCGTATCCAGAGTGATTTTATGACGATTGTTTTCAGATTCAAGTACAAAGACGAATATGAGAAATTTAAACTAGTGCTATCGGTAATTGGATTCGTACTCTCTGTATTAAATCTATTTACCAACATAAGGTGAGATACTATTATCCGTTTAATTCATTATGATCAATATTGCATTTTCTATTTATAAAAAAATATATGATTATAGATATATAAAATTTTTCTTTGTTCTTGTATTATAACTTATATTACTACATTTAGTAGTAATATAAGTATTCTTTTTTATTATACGAAAATTTATATATATTTTAATAACCTTTATTGTGTTTTCCTTTTCAGGACCTTAGAACTTAGTTTCATGTTTCTCCTCGTCTGGTACTATTGCACGTTAACGATAAGAGAAAGTATACTCAAAGTGAACGGATCAAAAATTAAGGGCTGGTGGAGATTCCATCATTTCCTCTCGACAGTGATATCTGCTGTTCTACTAGTCTGGCCAAACACGGGACCGTGGTACCAGTTTCGCCGCCAGTTTATGTGGTTCAACGTGTATATCAGTAAGTGTTGTATAAATTTTTAGCAAAATCTATCAAATCCATCTTGGTCAAAAATCTGTCAAGTAAATTGTTTGTATCTAGAATTTTAATGTAACTTACAACATTATTTTATTCTTAACTGCGTGTAATAGCTACTTTTAACTAACTCTGATACACTCGCATTTTTCAGGTGTAGTTCAGTACTTGCAATTTCGGTACCAACGCGGCGTTTTGTACCGGTTAAAAGCGCTGGGCGAGAGAGACAATATGGATATCACCATCGAGGGATTCCATTCATGGATGTGGCGCGGTCTCTCGTTTCTGCTGCCGTTCCTCTTCGCCGGTTATTTCTTTCAGCTTTATAACGCGTACACGCTATACGAATTATCGTACCATCCAGAGGCGACGTGGCATGTATCGGTGCTCAGCGCCATGTTCCTCTTACTATTTGTGGGAAACTCGGCCACCACCATCATGGTAATCCCGCAGAAGCTCGTCAAGGAACGCGTCAAGGAGCATCTGTTCGCGTCTAAGCCCGTTCGCAGAAAGGAGGGAAGCGCGCGCGATAAGGACAATAAAGATGAAAAGAGTGAGTGAAGGAAAGACGTTGAGTACTTCTGACCTTTCTGGTGAAATTGAGGCTCGGCTGGATTATGAGAATAAATTGGGAAGAATTGTAAAGGAGAAGATGACTACGCTGTCTACGCTATAAAATGGTGTTGGTGCTGGCTCTAAAATATAACGAACCGTACTTTGTTGCGTTGAGCAAAGGTGAATTAATAACACATACATACACACATATACAACGTGAGTGACTGATCACAAATAAAGAAGTTTTTATTTACTATACTCTTGGATAAAGTCCATTGTCAAGTGCTTTCGAGAATGTTCTTTGTACTCTCAACCGTCCTGAAATAAACTTGCCTAATTCCAACAATAGGCTTCTCAACGAATTTCAGTCAATTTTTTTTAATAGGAGACAATATATAAAAGTCTTTAATTAATTGTCTATTATTATTTTTTAAAATTAAGTGATAGGCAGGAACCAGTTAAATTTATTTCAAATCAGTTGAACACTATAACTCAAAATTTTTTGTCTTTTATTCTCTTTTGTGAAAAATGTCCCTTATTTTAAATCTTTAAATTATTTAAGCATCAGTTGACGTCTCGAGAGTTTCGATTGGAGAAAAATTGATTCCAGATTAATCAAACAATCGTTGCAATTTATTCTATTTCATTCCGGAACACCTTGCATATGATTCTCGCTCGGATTATAATCATACCAAACGCATTTATTTTTGATTGAATTAATACCATGTGATATCGAACCATAGTTCGATCATGACAAGCAATATGACGCGTAAATATTGACGGATTGACGCCATGTTTTTGATAAGAGGCCAGTTAATCTATTTCCGGGAAATTTATATGTATATATATACACGTACACATACACGACACAAGATGCATATGTACAGGCTGTTTCTTAAAGTCTACTAGTGAAATTGAGTGAAATTATGCTCACATTTGATGAAATACTCTGTATACACACATATACATTTAAATTACGTAGTCATTCTATATGCAGATATACATAAATATACATATTATATAAATACCTATACATATGCGATATCGCGTTTACGAGATATCACATAAAGGACACGATTCGTGTATAAGTATCATGTATAATCATGTATAATTATGATATACTTTGCACTACATGTATTTATTGAAATGTATTTACTCATGTGTAAATAAAAGCGTACCGAGCCTAATCCTACAACGAGAACTTGCAGTTGAGAATTACTTACGCACCGAGTCGCTAATCTAAGTTTTTTTTTTCTTTAACACAAATTTCTCTTTCTTTTTCACACTTCTATTCCGTCCACGTCGCACGTAAGCGTGAAAACGCATCTTGTGCCGGGTTCTCTTAAACCCCGCGAGATAATGTATATTTTACTGTATGCATAATTTATAACAATGGAATTATGTAAAACATACACAAATTGTGTATATATATTGCATATATTTATAACAATCTCTGTATGTAATACAATTTCTGTGATGCATTGTTTGGACACAGTCGCGCATTTTATTATAATTAATAATATACAATATCTTTTAATAATATATCTTTTTTATTAAATAATATATCTTTTCTCTTAATAATATATCTTTTTTGACGAATTAAGGAACCGTGTGGTGTGTGCACATCTCAATGAATTGATTTAATTAAAAAATTCTCATTTTCTTCAGTATAATTTTAGATATAATCTCAACTTTGAAAAAAAAAACATTCCAAAGATGCTATTTCTATCAAGGTGATAAAGATATGTGATCGATGAATCAATAAATGATATGTCAACTTCTAGGTCCACCAAGTTTAAAGTATATTGAGTGATCCAAACGGAAAGGAGGAGACCGGCTTGCGTATACGGTATAGTACAGAGTAAGACCGGTGAGATGGAGAACCGGCTACGTCACTGTCTGGAAAAGCAATAGTTTAGTCATTGCGATCTGCGACGCTTAGGTAAGCCCATCCAGTTCGCTTATCGACGTTCGCCACGAGCGTACACGTCCGCCTGAACTTTGCACATCCTATTATATCCCGTACGGTCTGTGACATTCAGGTGAACAGGTGTGCATTCAGCAGTCGAGATGCCGGTGAGAATCAATTGGCCCATGCTGACGGCGACGGTCTTCCCTAACATTGGCGGCTTGGTCGGCGGCTATGTCACCAGGAATAATATGATTTGGTACGAGGTGAGGATCACACCGCAAATGCGTCGCATAGAGATCACCTCATTGTCGCGAGATGTTGCGCGATATGAGAAATGAAGAGACCGCTATCCCGATTGGGAGAATATTACGTCGTTATGCGCTTTTTCTGCGGAATCTAATTATAAACTCGCGAAAGCGTTTGCAGGCGAAGGTCGCCTGATATGCGCGAATCGATATAAGAGCGATTCGCGAAGTAATGTGGTGCTACCTTGCTTTTAGAATTAAAATCGGGACTTGTGCCTCGTGTACTCTGTAACGAGAATTGTTACTGCAATATTATTTATAATTACTTGCATTTATATTTCTTTATATAATCTGATATTTATAGTTATAATAGTTTATAATTACAATCTTAATTTTATGGTCATATATAATAAATATATATTATGCATTATTTATATTTAGAAATTATATACTGCACGTATATTCATCTAATTTTTCGCACAATTGAATGTTATCTATAACCGTCATCATAAGCTTAGAGTTACGTAATATTTATCTCTTGATAAATTACAGTTCGTAACGTGCGATACATAAATGCAAACTCCATAAAATGTACTTGTCTGAAGAGCCAGTAATTCTAGCAAATAATCACAATCCCGCGAATCTGTAATTATATCTATCAATTCGATTATTTTCTTTAGGAATTCGTAGTCCTTATACAACCTCTCGTCCAAAAAAGGAATACATTATATCTTTTCTCGCGGATGACGTGTTCTTCTATTATCTCGATGTCTTTTCTTCTATATGATCTTCATAAATATGTACAGTCTTTCAAAAAAAAGAACTACGAACTTTTGAGGCTTACATCCGCCTATAAATAAAAGATTTGTATTATAATAAACGTGTATCCTAAAGTTTACATTTATTATGAGATACAAATAAGGTGATAGAAATTCAGTCATATAGGATTCGTCTTATTGACAATTTAAATGCAACTTTGATTTGTTTAACGGATTGCTCGATGTAATAAATGAAGATAGAATGACTATGAATATCGATCGCCAATGACGAGTATTCAAACAATGATTCAAATAGAGATATGTGAATCACTACAAAAACTTAGTAATGATATACGACTGCAAATCTGTAATTAATTATGCTTATGTAATCGGTGATTGAGGGCAGTCTGTGATTATTACCGTCCGTGAGTATCATTGTAAAGGATACGTAAGAAAAAGATAGGTTGTTTCTTGAAATATTCAAGAGAAAAAGTCTCGTGCTGTTTCTCTCGGATATTTATCTCGCAAAGTAAGCGTCGATACGTTATCTCGGGTTGCTTTTATTTCGCTTACACAAAATCTCTTTTCGTGTGAGAGAAAGAGAAAGAGGACTTAACTTAAAGAGCGGCCAAGCAGCACTTCTACCTACCGTCAATCGCGGAAATGCTCAAGTGTTTTACAATAAATTACACCTTACCGCGCTAGTGATATAACATGTAATATATCGCTTTTGTACGTATAGATGTGTCCGCCGCGCGCTTTAATCCGTTTCACCCTCGTTCCAGTCGTTGAAAAAATCGAAATGTATCCCGCCGAATTGGGTATTCGCACCCGTGTGGACCACCCTCTACTGTACAATGGGTTACTCGTCGTACCTCGTGTGGCGAGACGGAGGTGGGTTCGAGGGAGCGGCCGTACCGCTCAGCCTTTACGGCCTCAATCTCGCCCTCAACTGGTCGTGGTCGCCGCTATTCTTCGGGGCTCACAACATAAAATGGGTATTACATCGGATTTTACATGCACATACACACGCGCGCATTACGTTAATCGTAAATCTCTGGGACTGTTCGAGTGTTTTCCATATAATTTTATCTTCATAATTATTTATTACTCAAATAATTATTGCTACTGGAAGATATCTATACTCAAGATAGATCTTTTTGAGATTCGCAACACTTAAGATTAATCCTAATTATTCGCGAATAAATATGACTAGTAAAAAAAAAAAGAAATAGAAAAACTAGAAATTAATTTTCTTTTCAGTTTCAATGATAATTACGAAGAAGAGAGCATGTATTTTTTCAAGCCGACTTAAATCTATATTTCTAAAAATAAAGATTACATATAATCAACAGAACATTATAAGAATATCTTTGTATACATAATCTTCATCTTTTAAAATATGACATAGTTTCTTTTTAATTAAGACGATCTAGAAAAAGAAACAAGCTATCAATGCCCGAATCGCTCGAACGATCCCTGAATCTTACAGTGATTTTAGACCGAAGCGAGTTTAGGGATTACTTTGGATGCGATTAGATCCAACTTTTGTGAACTCGCGTTCGGTTAGAATCGCGTTTTATTGATTTTATTAGAAAACCTAATAAAAAATAAGTTTTTTGTAATTATTTTCTAGTATACTTTCAAGATAAATTCCTAAAACAAGAACGGATCAAGCATGTGTGTTTCATATAAAATTCTGATATAGTTTTATAGATCATTTTTGCATTAATCAGAGTGTGGCGTCGTTAAGCGCTTTCGGAGCAATCCTACGTAATTCCGCTTCGGTCGAAAATGTTACTAAGACTATCGTTTTACATTCGTGCACAGGCTCTCTACGAAGTTGCGGCGTTGTGGGTCAGCACGGCAGCGGTCGGGGTCGTGTTCTACCACGTTAATCCCGCTGCCGGCTATCTCATCATCCCCTACGTCGTGTGGAACTCTTTCGCCGCGGCGTTCAATTACATGCTCTACCGGGATAACAAACAGCTCCCCGCCGTTGAAAAAGTCGAGGGAAAGAAGAATTAAAGCTTATTTACATACAAAACGAATAGAGAAAGGGGAGAAATAGAGACACAAAAACACGGCGGTGCCGGGTGGATGTTCGCTTAGAAAGACAGCATTCCTCACGAGACTAATGCTAATGGTGGGCTTAACGAGTACTTTGAGTATATAAAAATCGAGTATTCGTATTTATCTCTGTTAAAGATATTTTGTGAAAGTGATAAAAAGAATATCGCTGCAAACTATTCCTATCAGAATCTATTACGTTTTTCTTACTTATATCAATACAGCATATTGAATGGAATACTTTGTAGCAAAATTCTTTTTTCTTTCTCAGTAAAAATTTATTGCATAAAAAAAGATGACGTGCGAAAATACTCGTTATTCAAAGTTATTGAAAAACTTGATATTCTTGCATTGACGTGACAAGCTTATCGCGATTGGCTGTTCTATTTAATCTTAAAAAATTGAGATAATTGAGTGCCCATTATTAACTATTTGACTTTCGTACAATCGCCATTATCATTATTGATCACTTCAGTCATTTGTTCGACGAACGTCGGGTTCGACGAGACGTGCCTTTGCATTGAACGCACAACGCCGTTAGTATACACATGTTTATTGATCGATATACGAAACAAAGATTAGTTAATCGACCACGTGTACGTACATTATACAATGTAATATCTTAATTATACCAAGCTTTAATAAATCATATAAAGTAACCTGGGGACAGGATGGATGGGGACAGATGGTGTGGACAGGAAACTTTCACTTTCTTCTGTCTATCCTATTCCGCGTGGAACTACGGAGCATTCTTTTGAATTAATTAACCTTGATAAAATAATGTCAGCCGCGAATTCGGAGAACTCCCGCCTCCGTTTAGAGCTGTGGCATCAATCACGCCTTTTGTACAGAATAGGGCAGAATATATTACACAAGAGCGATATCGAGTATGATGGTACAGGCGGCTGCTCGGGCGGGATCTCTTTTAGGCGGCTGTTGCCGCCGCATTCAGCTGCCGTGTTTCACAAGCGCTACGTGGGTTCGGTTGCGTAGATGTAGCCTTGCTGTTGTAGCACGTAAAGCCGCTTCTCTACTGCCTCTTTGTCTGAAATTAAGTGACAAACCGTGATCACTATGAACAATAGAATCGAGGAAAGATTATTTTGGTGAGATCTAATTTTATTTTAAATTATAAATGAGTGAAAAAAGAGATTTAATAAGTACTTGTTATATTTATTACATAATGTGTAAAAAGGTACTGCAATTGGATAAATTATTAAATTGGTAAATAAAGATTAAGTTGATGCGCAAATGTGTTTTCATGTAAAAATAAGATCTCAAGTATAAGCTGAAAAAGAAATCACATAAATGATGAGAAATAGTAGAGATGATATTTTTACTATTATCAAACATATCTTTTCCAAATCTTTCAAAATTGTAAAAAAAAAATAGATTTTTTTACGATTTCGACGAAAATTCAATCAGCGTGGAGACAAAACATACATTTAATAAGTAGAGCTCGATCCTGGCTATGGCTGACATGCTGCGCTAACGAATGCAATAATATCTGCGCCGTATGGTATCGCTGGAAACATTCGCCGCCTTTTCCAAATAGCTCGTCCAATGCCGCTGATTGACACTGTAAAAGTATAATCACATCAAATACTTACAATCGTTTGTTAATTGTCAAAAACATAACGTATATTGAGGTATACTGTATAAAGAAATTAGAGGTAATAAGCGCAATTAAGAAAATATAAAATTATTACAGTACCATGTGAATCGCATGATTGTACAGTATCTTGTCCGCCGTAGCTCCTGTTTGACGAAGAAGGCCCACGCTATTCAGTTGCTTGCATTCCATCAAACACAACTTAAATTTCTCGTTCATGGTACTGACAACTGCAATATTAAAAGAAAACAATTTTATTTAAATATAGTTTATATGTAACTCATACACCAACTTTAAATTTAATAAACAAATCACATACATTTTAAATGGTACTTATCGCAAAGAAATTTGTTCTTAGTGAGAATATAGAAACTTAATATATTTCGGAATTGTAGTTTCACAAACGGTGAAACGCTGAATACACTTTGTGAATTATACTTCGTGGGATAGAAATAAAAAAATTTTGCGTCGCGTTCAATTTTATATTACTTTAAAACAAAATTGTAAAATTTCTAGGATTTTTTTAGAATTTTAAATATTCTAGGATTTAGGATCTGTTTTAAAATCCAGGGTTCTAAATCCTAAAATTGAAAATTTGAAGTTTTTAAATTCAGAATTTTTAGAATTTGTGAATGTATGTGATCTGTTGTTAGATATCAGATAAAAATAAGAATAGAAACAAACTACAACGACAAATGGCGATAAGATTCCGGTCAAATGTTTAGCAAGCTTGATAAATATGAATCTGTTAAACTCGCATAAATACTACGATAATCTACTACGGGAATCATTTACCTTCCTTCACGGTGGCTGTCGGTTGCAGCCTTCCGGCTTTGAGTTCCTGAGTGGCCAGATTCAGGCCGGAGCTGAGCCACTGAAGGGCTCGTACCAGAAGGATGACCTGCTCGGCGCGTTTCCTGGTGGCCGCATTACCAGCCTGTTCGATGCTGCCGAGAGGCGCCGGTTGCTCGATATTGCCGAGCGGGCCAGCCCTGGATCTGGCGACTTCGCATACACATTCGCACAATGCCACGACGAAATTCAACTTGGCCAGGATCTCGTTGTGCTCACGCTCCATTATCGTCTCCTCCGGTAGCTCCGGCGCGATAAACGTTAATGGACGATCATCGATTGTCGTCGGTGGTATATCCGGAAAGAGACTTTGGAAACTACCGGCTTCTACAGACGAAATGAATAATTGACAGAATTACTAAAAGATTTAGAGTTTTTTTTTTAACAAAATGTATTTATCTAATGTAATGTATTTACTAGGAACAAAATGTCAACTGAAGTGATGATTAGAAATTATCAGATTATGAATCGGTGGTTATTGAGTGGCACTGAGATATAATATTCTGCACATCTCAATACGTTGCTCCAGCCAACGAGATTTTTATAAAAATGGTCAAAGTATTACCAGATATTTCTGGAAGGGTGACGGCCCTAGTGCCGAAGGGTATGACAGGCGAATGCCTAAGAGTGTTGTTGTTATCTTGAAAAGCTCGCGAGGTGGGCGAGCCAAGTACCGCTAGCGGACCTGTGAGCAATGGCGAGGATGCGCTGTTATTACCCGTGGAACGGCGCAACGGTGAGGTTCCGCTCGGCGTGTGCGAGTGTCTAGCTACAGGGCTGACCTGCCAGGTGTTAGGCGGCGGCGGAGTCTCGCTCAACCTAATTTTTGATAAATTAGTTTTATTCGATTGCTTTATTTTATTTTTTTTATTATTTCCACATAGAAATGTCCCAAGAGCCTAGACCTTTAATAAAAAAAAAATAAAAAAAAATAAAATAAAATAAAAGTTTCAATAAATTATTCTTACAAATGAATAATTCGATACAATTTTTAAAACAAATAGCAATTCGAGATTAATAGACTGTTAATTGTAACACCATAGATCTGATTGATTTGTTCTATTGACAATTGCAAAGCGAAAAACTTAGGTAAATTAAGATTTTTTAATGAAATTCTATTAAAATTATAATATAATATGATTATTTCTCGATTAATAAAATTACTTCTCTTTTTCCCTCTCTTTCGAAATCTTTAATTTTATTCTAATTTGAGAAAAGAATCAGTGTAAAAAGACCCCACATAACTTATATGAAAAAAATGTTTTCGGTCAATTTTTGCTTGGATTTGTGATATGTTGTATTTTTATATCCCAATGAAGAGTCTCAAATTTTATCAACTTTCTATGATTAATCTCTTATAGGCATTTGAAAATATCCTACACAAGAACCGTTCGTATGTTTATATACACGAGCTTTGCCGCCAAAATATTCATGAACATTCACACACAGATGCAGGAAGAGGCACACAAGTGCAAACTCGTGTATACAAACGTACAAATAGTTCTTGTGTAGATTTTCAAATAGAGATTATAATTCAGAAACTAATCATAAAAAGTTTATGAAATTTGAGACTTTTCATCGGGGACACAAAAACTACAACATATTACAAATCCAAGGAAATTGACCGAAAACGTTCTTTTCACATAAATCGTGCGAAGTCCTTTATGATTTTAATTATTTAGAAACCCGCAAAGAGTAAGAAAAAATTGTCTTTGACTCGACTGTTCGAGGACATGCTTTACATGTCGTACCTTCTGCCGGGCGGAGTGCCGATGACAAACTGCACGCTAGGCGGACTGAGGGAGCCGATGTCCGGTGGGTGACTTCTGTGGGAATCCACACTGCGTTTCATGCTGATCGGTTGTGAGCGGGGCACGACGCTACTGCCAGAACGGGCGGCATTCGTCAAGGGAGATTGGGGTTGCTGAGCCGCTGCATTTCGTTGACATGGAACGGGAATCGGCTCAGAAATCGGCAGGTAGCATGGTCTGGGTGGACTGATGGCTTCCCTGCTCGTCTGTCTGGTATACCTAGTGAATAATTATAGAAAAACAAAAATAAACACAATAATGTGAAAATAATTATAATTGGTCTAATATTTAAAAAGTTTGCAATTCTATTTAAGTTATATAAATTGATATATTTAAAAAAATAATAAAATGTCACGTACTCGCCCAATTTCGATAAGCATGGCCGGGGTGGACTGACAGCTTCTCTACTCATTTGTTTGGTATACCTGGAAAATAATCAGATAAATATTCAAGCATTCTAATAAAAATATTTTATATCTAAATAACAAAGGAAACATAAAGATATGAAAATATTTAAAGATTAGAAATTCAACTTTGTACAGGGTATTTCAGCCAATTCCCCTTGATTAAATTATTATTAAAACTTTTTCATAACTTTTACTAATATATTCTTTCGTTTCTTTCAGATCATCACTTATTATGCACTTACTTGACTGGCGGATTATTGTCAGTATCGCTACTGATGTCGCTCGGCACAAGGACGAAGTCATCCTCGGGACTGGAGCAAGGAGTCTCCGTCGTTTCGGGCTCCGATCTGTTGACAATCGGCGTTCCTTCCTCGATCGGAATCGCCATTGTCCCCGGCGATGCCGGCAGTTCGGTAGGCACAGGGCTTGGACTCGGACTCTCTCGGACACCCGTGAGGAACGGGTGACCAAAGAACTGGTCGAAATCCATGCGGTCAGTCGCTTCGCGCCTCAACAGGCCCATTAAAAGATTCGTCAGCTCCGGTGATGTTCCAGGAGGTATACTAAAAAAGAACGAGACACATCCACATGATACTCTTTCTCTTTTATATTATTTTCTACTATAAATTTCTTCTTAATATAAAATAAAAAATTTAAGAATTTCGAGAAAGGCCAGATTAAAAAATTAAAGAAAAGAAAAAAGCCAGTACAAAATATACATGGTGACGTAATAAAAAAATCCAGAAAAATATAAAGAATCCGCTATTTTATAAAGAAACATTTCTTAATTATATATATATAATATAAAATTTAGATCTTTTTCCTTCCAATTCCAATATAAATTCAATATACTAACATAAAAGAGAATAAAGCTTCTATTAAACATTACATATTTCTGTACCTAGGAACAAGATTAACAGTGTTCTCGTAGATCGACTTGAGTGCATGAGGATTATTTGCGGGATGCGGTGCCTTCCCGGTGAGACATTGGTATAATATCGTGCCAACCGACCACAGATCCGCCTTAGCGTCATATTGAAGAGACATAATGACTTCGGGCGCCATGTACATCGGCGATCCACACAAAGTCGCAGCCATTACGCCTTCCTGCAGGAACCTAGCAAAACCAAAATCCGCTGAAACAAAAAAAAACGCATTAATATTGTATAGATTCTTGTAACGGCTGATGCCGCATGGCCCGATCACGTGTAAGTAGCGTGTGCGAATTGTCGAACAGGTGGGAAATCATCGAACCGCGGTATCCGAGACCGCGGCGAATATTCAATGTCGCTCTAACAACCGCCGAATAAATATATCGATCGCTCTGAGTCGCCCGGTTATTAACGGTTTTACTTATTGTATCGTATTGCATTATATATTATAAAATTGAACGTGGAGTGTATCCTAGAAATGTTCGTAATCCGAAGGGCATGAACAATATGAACAATCATTTATAAATTGATAAGTGCTCGACGTTTGAGGTACGCGCGACCGGTGTGCGCATCGCGCTCGACGCTGTATTCCTATCCAGAATAAATTATTGTTACCAGCATTTTTGCATTTGTACGTTCAATGGTACAACAAATATCATTTATTAATAGAAAAGTTAATATCAAACTAAAAAAAAAGTCAAACCTAGTAAAGATACGGAAATGCTCTTACCTATTTTTAATGTTATTTCATGTGGCTGTGGACAGGTTTTACCACAGTTGTGATTCAACAGGATATTCTGCGGCTTGAGATCCCTGTGGACTATCCCTTTGGCGTGCAGTACCTTCATCGCGCGAACCAACTGCTTGAGGAACAGCCTGATGGTATCCTCAGAAAGAGTACCTTTCGCTATCAGAAAGATACAAATTATTATTTATACATAAAACCTATTCGTCCTATAACATTAAAGTATAACATTAAACATTAAAGTTTGATATTTGAAGCTTTCGCGGTTGAAGTCGCATGAATTTTTTATTTAATCAGAGAAAAGTAACCTGATACGGTATCAGGTTGCTTTTCCTCGACTGAAATACTCCCAAAATGTTGGAATCAAATAAAAAATTCACGCGGCTCCAACCCAGAAGCCAAACTCAATGCATTAAAGTTTCATTAATTGTCTTTTTTCACTTGATTTAGTTATCATGCGCAATTTTTGTTGTTGCAAAAGTTGCGTGTGCTCACCATTTAAATAATCTCCCAAATCTCCACCGTTGCAATATTCCATAACCAGGAAGACATTATGATTAGACTCCTGCATCAAGAAAATATTAATTATAATATTTTTCATAATATATACTCTCGAGTATATATTATGACAGAGATTTTATAAATGTGACAGTCTCACCTTACAATCGTATAGCGCGACAACATTCTCATGATGTAGTTTAGTCAATGCCTGTAAAACAAAGCACAATTTTCCTATAATATATAATAAAAATATGCAATATTTATAGCAAAAACATATTTTTTAATATTTGTTAATAACATTTCTTTTCTTTCCTCTCCTTTTTATTTATGAAATTTCTAAAATCTGTCACGAGCACAAAGGGCGCACCTTTAAAATTTTGATCTCCTTTTTCAGCAAGTCTTGCGATTTTGCCAAAGTCTTCTTTGTGATACTCTTGATAGCCACTACTAAATTTGGTTTCTGCAAAATACAAAGCAGCTAGATATAATTATTGACTCGGTATTAATATAGTAAAAACTAAATTCCATAATAAAGCAAAGTAATTTGAATTAATTTAAAAACAGATTAATTCAAATTAAATTAAAAAAATGTCAAAGTGCAGATTTCTCTCAAAGCTAAAAATTCGTTTAATAGACATCATATTATCTTACGAAAGACGAGACAACATTTCACAAAGAAATCTCAAACAAGCGAGTTCTTTTTTTTATATTAAAAATCTCAGAATCTCATAATGGGAGCTTTCCAGCAAGCGACACAAATCGACAAGTGTTGTTTTGTCTTTGGGAGCTTTTCAGCAAGCGACACAAGTCCACACAAGTCGTTTTATCTTTGTCACTCATTGCCATAAAAGAAAGATACAATGACATCTGTCGACTTGTGTCGCCTGCTGGAAAGCTCCCTATAAACATTAGATTCATATTAGAAGTAACCGAGTTCTATTAAAAAACAAACTCCTTATTTATTCTAGTGAGTATTACGCTACGATATCTATCTTGATAAAGTTTGACAAAGAAGTTTCAGAAACCTGTAAGATCCTACTGGAACAATGGAATCTTCACAAAGAAATAGATTTAACATATATTAAAGGAAAACGCATATATATACATATATGTACGTTTTTCTATCGAAATACATATAGATATATATATATGTATACATATATAGATATATCTATATATATACTTATATATATATATCTTCCCTACATATCTATATGTACATCAGGCTTGTAATTTTGACCAATCAATCCTCGTTCGCGAGACAGGCACGCGAGGCGTGGATCAGGAACGGGATAGTGCTCACTTTGCGATGCCTGCCCCTGAAGACCACGGCGAAGGCGCCGGTGCCGATCAGGTCCTTGGGATTGTACTCGTAGTCGCCGAGGATCTCCATCTCTCTGGTCCGACGGGCGGTCTCTACCGACGTGCTGGGCTCCGCGGTTTACCAACAACACGAGGACGCATCGCCCGCGATCGGGGATCGATGATGATAACCGTCGGCCCCCCGCCGCCGTCGTCGTCTGCTCCAAAATGACACGACGTTGTCAAATGTCACGCAGTCACAGCTGCCCGTCCCCTCCGCCCCGAAGCGGATCTACATCTCGTCCATCATTGTCCTCAATCGTGGCGTCGCGTCGAATTACCGCTGTCCGCAGTCCGCCCCGCCGACTGTTAAGAAACAACACGACACGTCCGTGGCGAGGAGCGGAAGGGGCGACGGGCACGTCCGAAAACACAGGAACACCCCGCGGAGAGGGGACACCTACTCCCCGCCGATGTGTTAACGCGTCGCACGCACCACCGCTCCACCTCGGCGTTGACGCAATCGGTCCGACGGCCGGGGGACGGGACGTCGGACATCGTCGCGAACAGTCGCGAATGGCGCGACGATCGCCCGCGCGCATCAAGTCGCTGAAGAATCGAATCCCTCAAGCAAGATATCCTTGCATCTTGGACATTCTTCAGATAATTCTTCAGATAATTTTTTAGATAACTCTTCAGATAATAACTTCAGATAATTTTTCAGATGATTTTTCACCCGTCGCGTTGTATGTGTTTCAGACTGAACTCTGAAGAAATTTAAATTTATATTAATCATATAATAATATCTGTATGAGCTCTCTATTGAATTAAATTTACTTTTTTATTAATAAACCGCATAGATACCAAACCAACTTGAACATTTTTGAAAAGCCCTGATTGCCCCACGTTGCCAATTCAAATTGGCCGCGTTCAGCAGACACAACTGTTGAGTTTGTCTTATCAACCCTCCGCGCTGATTGGTTGGTTCTAAAAGTCAGAGCCAATCACGTTCGACTGAGCGGCTTGGTCTGCTGAACGCGACCAAAAGTGATCAAACGGGAAGCTTGCAGTCCAATTTTATATTCAAAATCGTCTTATAAACACTTATCTTAATACTCTATTTAATACTCTTAATTAATTTCAATTAATTTTAATATTTTAATTTGTCTATTCTATATTATAGGAGTCTGGCCGTCTTCATTAGCACCTTCGCCGTGGCCGAACGTCACGGGGCGAAGATTGGCGAAGATCGGCGAGGGAGGCCGAACGCAACGGTCCCAGGAAGGGCGCTCGCTTCGTGCGCGACAGTTCGATTCTCTTCCCTCCGGGCGTTCCGTTTTCGCTTCGCGTCGTCGTTCGCGCGCGGCGACAAGTCGCCGGGCCCCCCTGCGGCAACGTGTGATCGGCTTCCTGCCCGGACGAGCGAACAGGTAAAACGAGCCGCCGTCGCGGAGTCGCGGCGAGGAGCATGCACGGGGCTCCGTTCGAACGAGTTCGCGATTTGCGCAGCGCCGCGCGGCCGGATCGATAATTGATTACTGTGTGCGTTACTCTAACCTAGGTGCTCCGTCAATCCGTTGGATTATTAAATGCCCGCGCGCGCGTATACGCTAGTATACGCGGCGTGCACGTGTACGTGTCGTGACCCGATATCGCGATAATCGTCGCCGTCACGAGACACGAGGGTGTCCGTCGACGTAAACTCAATCCGACGCGCAGTGCTCTTTTCCTCCCCCCTCCTCCCCCCCGTGATCCGGATGGCGGTGCGATCCTCGGCGATTTACCTGCTGGCGAACATTTGACCTCGAAGCGGGCTCGTAGACAGTATTTGTACGATAAACGATCACGTAAATGGGGTTTGAAGCTTCACGATTCATATAACGATTGATAATTATGTAGAGCAGTTTGTAACGATGATGACTGATCTTCTTGTACCGTTCGTTTTTCTTCTTTTTTTTCTATCCAATTTCTAATTATACATACACTCATTTCAAGTGCATAAAGTACAACGTGGTGCAGTTACAAGGAACGGGTCTTGGAGTAGGACTCATCGTTTCTCACTTCTCCTTGGATTTGTGTTTGAGATTTCTCCGTGATGTGTATTTCAATCCAGCAAAACGGTCGCAATCTACTTGAGCAATTAGGCAAACGAAGAAACAGACTCATTGTCAGAGATTAATTTTTGCAGAATGTAAAATGTTTTTTTAACTTTGAGACGGTATCGAGCACTCGCTTCGACGTTGTAATTTGTTCGCAGCTCGACGTTATTGTTTCGCTAAATATTTGGTTTGTTAATCGTCTAGCTAAAATACGCTTCTTTATCTTTGCATTCGCAGAACTGAGGCAAGATGTACAATGGCATTGGACTTCAGACTCCACGTGGTTCCGGCACCAATGGGCACGTTCAGAGAAATTGGGCGATTGTGCGTAAGAGCAAGGACAAGGTCACCTACAAGACGGAAGATACCAAGATCGATCAATTGAATAAGCAGCCAAACAAGGAAATCTTGGATCATGTCAGAAAGAGAAAAGTTGAGGTCAAGTGCGCGGAGTTGACCGACCATTTAGAAAATCTAGGGTAATTATTCATAAATTATAATTCTTGACTTAATACTCTTGATATTCTGGTTTTTTAAATTATCTCGAATTTATATAGTGTATCGGGATACAACTTGTCACTTTTCTGCCGTTCTAATAGTCTCGATTTTAAAAGTATGGAAGTTGTCTCATTAATCATATAAATATATTATAATTTGCAGCAATATCTTACAACCTACCTTGATTCTCATTATGTTTCAATATCTCAAATATCCACAACAGAGTTATCAATAATTACCGATGTAGTCTTAGAGGCTTTGTTTCCAACAGAGTTGTTGATAGATGCATTGTCTTTGAACTCTGTGTTGAAGCCAAAGACTGACAAAGCAAATCCTATTACAGTTTACAATCTCATTTAAGTTCGAAAGTAAAAAAGCTGCTTGGGAATTAGACCGATCGCATGATTCTGACCTAAATCATATAACGTAATATAAACACGATATAAATAACACAGTACGAATAAGATATAAAATATAATTTTACATATATAAATGGAAAATATAGATGTATAATTTTCGAACAATTTGCAATCACAATTTTAATGATGGATTTGTAATTGGAGTAGTTAATACAGAAATACAGAACAGATTTACGCGAGAATTGATATAATCTTGTTTTTTTTTGCTATGGATTACAGATTTACGAACGAGGAAATACAGAACAAGGTGGAATCCTACAGATCGTTGTTAATGGGCAGCGATGTTAAAACGTCCATCCCGCAAGATGAATTTGGCCGTGTTAAGTAAGTATATTTTATAGTTATCTTTTTAATAATTTAGTTAATTTTTTCTTAAAATCAAAGACGATTAATATATAGCGAATTATAAATAAATTAGCTGAGACGCGTAATACAATAACGCGGAATAAATTAATCTATTAATCAGAGTAAAGCAATCACGTATAGAAGGATCAAATTAGATGATGCATAGAAAAAAAATTAAATATGATTAAAATGAATTATATGCTATATAATATAATTGTTTAATATAAATTAAGTAGAAAGAAATATATATAACATTAATTGGGATATATATATTAATAGCACTATATAATTGAGATTACATTATATTACGTAATCTCAAATTTAATAATAAATGTAATGATTTTGTTAACTGAGAAAAAATTGGCTTAGAAACACGATGGTGCTCTATTTTTGAAGAAGTGTATGAAACTCTAAGGAAAGAGCTTTCGTCTTCCTATTGATTTCTGTCAGCCAAATCCAGGATAATCCTGACGGCGCGCAGATACTATGTGAAACGACGTATATGACGTTAAGGGTGTCTGAGCTTCTTGAGATCTCTCTCTGCTGTGGCTTTATTCGATCCCGCGCTAAAGGAAAGCTTTCACAAATGCAACATCATATCGCGAGAAAATATATTTACTGATCTGCGTGCTTCCTGAAAATCCTCGAGAGACGTTCAGAAGTTTTATAACGTCTTTTAGACACTCCGGTTATTTTTGTAGCTGCCATTTGAGCTCCATTAGCTGTACGATTTTCAATACAAATTAAACATAATGGTAAATGCGATATAAAGAAACGGTTTTAAAGCCGAAAAAAGTTTTTTTTAGAAGAGGTCTTTAGAAATTGGGATACATTTAAAAAAAATCAAATATCTTTTATTTCACTACATATAGAAAGTTCTTCATATTCAGAAAGAAACTAAAGTTTTTGAAAGCGAAAAATGGAATTGTTTTTCATGAAATGCGATGGCATAAAAATTGACATTAGTCGATATTGTTAAATCAGAATAGTATCGCTTTTTCGATAAGTTTCATTATTCCATAGATTTATTATATGTAACTGAGAAGTAAACGTTCTGCGGAAAAATACGGCCAATAATTTTCGAATACACGTTTATCATCATTACTGGCGATCGTTAATTCGAATTATTTTAATCTCTACTCATTCTCGCAAGCAAAGTGTCGAGAAAGATATCAGGGTTGTAGCTTAGATGAGAGAGAGCAGAGGGCGGGGACGCGTTGCATTCCGTGGCAACCTCCGGACCGAGATGGAGGATGGGGGTGGGTGTTGTATTCGCGATATCGACGTACCCCATAGCGCCGGCGCCGAGAGGGTGAGAGGCGACGAGGGGGATATATCCAGGGCGGAGGAGGACGTGAGGTGGGAGAAAGAGGGAACGCAGCATCCCTCGCTCTCTCGGCGGGCCAGCTTTTTCCGGCGCCTCAGTGCGAGGATGGACCGGCGTCACGGCGCAGCCAGCGGACGCGTCGTCGTGTGTCGTCGTCGACGGATGGTGCACCGAGGGTCGGATTAATATCTCGGGGTGACCCCGCCGGGGAAGGGACATGTGACGCGACGCGACGCACGAACTCGCGGACAAATCACAAAAGTCTTCCATTAGCTTAATCTAATCTGGTAGCGCGGTTACTAATCCCGCTCCTCTAGGTCGTCTTCCTAAGTGCTAAGTCTCGAGTTTATAGAATTTACGCGTCGCGAGGTAGAGCTTAAGTCTTTTAGCGTTTAAAAGTCTCACGGGAGCAAACGGGCGGTATCGCGCCGTTCAATCTTACGGAAGATATCGTATCGAATGTGATAACCGAGCGAAAGAAATCTGCGAAGATCTCGCGCAAGTTTCGTTCAAATATATAATATAATATAATATCGAAAAGTATCTATTACATTTCGCCCCGGTGATGAGTGAAAAAAAAATCGGCAAGATTAGAAGAATCGTGCATTTTACTGGAACGAACTGTAACGTAGATACGTATAGAGAATAACAGATGTCGAATGTCGGTTGAGTGATCCTGAGTGAGAAGAAAACTTGAAGAAAATTACATTTTGATCGTATATATTTCATTAGACTAATAATATTAAATACACGCGGAGAAGATATCGTATATCGTGTATTAATTAAACATTGGTGATCTTAGATGAAGAAATCTCTGGGAAGAGACTTATTAGACAGAACGGACGGACTGTTAATCAAGAAGATCAACATTTGCAACTTTGGAATCTGAATTTTTACAACGTACATCGAAATATACGTGACATAGAAATAATTCGACTACCTTAACTGGAAAGAAGAGAGGACCATAAAGAAAGATAAGAGAAATTCACCGAGAAAAGAGAAGCAAAAGTGGGGAGCTAAAATTCCTCGACGAGTTTTACAAAAAGGTCTTGATTTGTGCAAAGTGCACATATTGCACACCCGTCTTTCTCTCGCGATTTTCACTTCGTCGAGGAAACATCAAAAGAGACTAGATAGAAATATTGTATCTTCTGATTCACATATCTCCACTCCTACAATTAGAAGAAATATAAAAAGTTTTTTCTACGAAATCCATGTGTCTCCAAGACGTCGACTGCGACGAAGTCGACGGTACGTCGCTAAAAAAAAGCGTGCTGCTTCAGCTTGACAAGAAAGAAGCACGGCGATAATCGTGTGCCTGATCCGAAGTCTTCCTGAACTTAAGATGCGTACAGCAACTTCTTCAACGCGAGGATTTACATATCGCTATATTCTTCCACGATCGTATGGAATAAGAAAACAACGTTTAACAGTCCAAGCGTGAACGATAATGATAATAAAATAATACGTCATAAATATATAGACGATAATAATTTATTCCTGATAATAATAGCAAGTTAAGAGCGTAACACAATAAATGGTTAATAATAAATCCAATAAAACGTAACAATAAGTAAAGATAGAAGTCTATAAGGAATATGAAGTAAAAGAAACATTTGTAATATCGTGAAACCGGGATCCGAGAATACACGGATATGAGATGATGAGAGTCGCTTGAAGAATATCAAAGTGGAACGACGAGTAAGGAAAGGGAGAGAGACGGAACTCGTTATTGTAATCATCATCATCATCGTTGCCGTCGCAGTACGATTGTTCTAGCTAGAAAAGCCGGGACAACGGGTACAAAAGGCACCAGCGACGGCAACTGAGAAGGAAGAGAGAGAGCTATTATCTTCGCTTGCGATCTTCCCCTTGCATCCCTTCTGTTTCCTGCGTGAAGGGATTAAGCGTCGTAGAGCTACTTGCGCAACGTGGACCAACCGACGGAGCGTCTCGAATTTAATTAGCGGTCTGAATTTATTATGCCAACATTATTCACCATCTTCTTTATTTTAGGTAGTTGAATAAAAAAACGGCGAAGAAACGAGACACGCAGGAACACTCGAGATAACTATATCGACCATTAGAATTGGAAGAGGATAGAAGTCGAAGAGAAATTGCGGCACGGAATATACCGTAATCGGCCTGCGCAATCAGCGATTATTAACTACGATTAAAAATACGTCTTTCACGAAAGACTGATAATTATTTCACACTACAGTACGAAGCGCAAGGGAGAACAATTTTTATTTCTAAAAATAAAAATAAAAAGATAAAATTCTATTCTCAATCTACGGTCAGAAATAGCGCTAAGAGTAAAAGACGACAAAATCCTGGGAAGGACTTTCGACTCGAAATTGGACCGGTTGTCAGAGATTAATATACAATCGTCCTATAAGCACTACATTAGATTGCGTCAGAGAAGATTCTTCGAGGGAAAGGATCTCGGAGAAATCCTCATTCGTCGCTGCATCCGAATTTTGAGGAATGGCAATGTCGGCAACGGTGTCACCGGCGAAACCCGCGCGCGGACGTGGCCCGGCCGACGGCCGGGCCTTCTTCGAGACGCTGTGGCGAGGCGGCAACTTCCTGCTGGACCGGCAAAAGGTGCTGAAGCGCTCGCGCAAACGCAAATTGTACTACGCGGCGGCTAATAACGGTGGCAAGAGGAAGCAGCAGCAGCAACAGCAACTGCTGCAGATGCAGCGCCAACACTGCTGTTGCTGCCAGCGCATTCAGCTGCACCTGCTCGCCGAACGGCGAAGCAACATGCGCTCCGTCGTCAGGTGAATCCCTTTGTCAGCGCCAGCTTTCAGTTTGATCTTAGGACTGTACACCGGGGTCAATGCGTCGACTATCAACACATAATATAGAATTAAAAAAAAATTATTAAAATTCTCTATCTTTTGTATAACGATTTGTAGAGACAGATAAGAATTAATATTATGAATATAAGCACGATTATTTTTTTCCCCGGTGTATAGTTTACATTATAGTTCAAATAGTGTATAACTAGCAATATTGAGCTTCGCTGTATAGAATGTCTCCCTGATCATTAGGTCGCTACATTTCTTCTAGCAAAAGTATATTATATAAAGGCGAGTAATTTTTTTTTTAATGTGAGCTTCGGAAGAGAAGATTATATAGAAATCATAAAATCTCGAGCTAATCCCGTGTGAAATTTATTTTAACAGAATCGACAGTAACAGTAATTCGAAGCTTAGTTTTATGAGGATATGACCCTTCGATGATAACGGGAAGCATTTCTGAGGGGGAAAAAAAAAGGAAGAAACGGCATTATATTAATTTATTTCGCTCTTCGAGCCTGGTTTTGTTCGCGGATCGACGCGGCGTAAGTCACCGACGACGGTGCGATTCTACAGCGCAAAGGGGATGCCAGAAAAGAGAACAGCTGGATTGTATTGATCCGCCGGGTTCCGGCGCCGTGCGTGCAGGCGCGCAGGGGTGGCTCTCGCCCCCGGCTCGACCCCGGTTCACCGCTTTTCACCGTCGCAGGAAAAGTAGAGAGAGAAAGAGAGAGAGAGAGAGGACCCGAGCGATTCCTGCTCCTGCCTTTGCCATTCTAGTCGGCCCGCAGTGTGTGTTATGTCATTAGCATCGCGACGCCCGTTAAGGACGACGTCGACACCATTGTTTCGCGGCTCCGTACGGGGTGTTTCCGCGAGTCCAGACGTCTCCGTCTCGCTGTAACTTCCGAAGAAGCGATCATCGCTCTTAGAAGGATGACGGTGAAGATTTCGACGCGGTACGCGATCTCGATCGTCCTCTTTGTCTAGGACTCGCGACTCTGTTATCGCGAACCCCATCGAGTGTGCCTTGTAGATCGTCCCGATAGCAAAGTTCATGTAGTGGCGTAATATTTCGAAAACGGGGAATCGACAATTAAACAGATGTATATAGATCGATTGAATGTGATTCAACTGCTCATTTGCATTTCACGTTCTTCCTGCGCGTACGGCACGATTTGTGATTTGATCGTCTTGAACATACGGCGTTTGAGATTAAAATTCTGTTGTGTCGAGCTAACCGATTCGATTCTGTAAATCATATAGTGTCGTATGTAAAATTATCTGTAAAAATGATCGTTAATATCTTGAAAATATGAAGATGTTCACACTAATTAAATTTGATTGTTCATTCTTATTACTGGACTGTCGTGCGTACGATTGACGTGTGATTTGATAATTGGCATTGAGTAATCAGCTGTGGTATTTAATCGCAGTGCAATTTCTGCGAGGATTTTACTCCGTAAACATAGAACCTTGTCTGTTATTATCAATAATTACACATCCATGATTGTAGTTGTGTCAATAATTAGGATTTTGCTTTCCGAGGGTGGGCGGCTTATATAATTATACACTCCTAAAAATTATTAATGGCTGTAATTAGTGAAAACTAATTGGTGGCTGTATATATATATATATATATATGATGCATTTATAACTGCAAATTTTGCAATTTTTCGCAAACTCTTTTCAATCGTGAGAACTAACGGAGTTTACGTTTTCAGCGTGCGGGAGACCCACCAGATCGCCGAGGCACAGCAGGAGAAGAATGCGAAGCTGCGCGAGGCGTTCGGCATCTCCGAGTTCTTCGTCGAGGGCAGTAGCTTAGACCCGGAGCGGCACGCGCGCGAGGCGGAGGCGCGAGCCGCCGCCGCCGCCGCGAGCAAGGTCTACGAGCTGGTGCATACACCGAGCCCGGAGCCGCCGGCGTTGATACCGGAAGCGATCGCCGCCACAGCCACCGAGAAGAAGAAGCGGAAGCGTTCCGGCAGCGCGAGCGCGGGCAAGAAGAAGAAGGCGAAGAAGCACAAGCGGGAAAGGTACAGCATAACGTAAACGGTGTGCGCACGGCTCCATGGAGGCTGGATTCGACCCCAACGTGACCTTTCTTTCTCTTTCTTTCTTTCTCTTTCTCTCTCTCTATCTTTCTCTTTCTCTTTCTCTTTCTCTCGTTTCCGTTTTAAGTATCAACTCAGAGTAAGATGCGAATCGAGGCTCCAAGACCGCACACCCGGCCCCGTCACACGTCTTCGGAACACCCCAGAAAAGAGAAAAGAAAGCGACCAAGATCCGAGTAGGAACGTCTCCTCTCTTTCTCTCTTTCTCTTCCCATGTCGGTTAATCGAGACTGTTCGTTTTTTGCAAACGCTCGAGTACTATCTCTTTCTCTCTCTCTTTTGCTTTTTTTACGCGTTAGCTGGATTTACAGAACTGTAAACTCATGACTCACCACCTACTGTCTCATATCCCGTACACCTTTCTCTGTTTCAAACAGAACTGAGGAGGACTGAGTGCCTACCCAGTAGGCGCAGTAGGTAAGTGTGGTCGTCGCGATTAATTTGCAAAAAAAAAGAAAGAAACACTTCGAAAAAAGCTTAACGTCGTGCGTCATATGCAAAGATCGTGATTAGAAAGTTATCGGTGGGATTTCTCTGAGAGATTGTTTCTCTCACGCGATTAGATATCTCTCCGCGGGTAAATGTTTGTTACATTTTGTCTTTTTGGTCAGACTTAGCATTAAAAATTATATGTGCATTGTAATTAGAAATTATATATAAATTACTTTCGATAAAAATGCAATTTTATCTTAATCCTTTTGGGAAATTTGAAAATAATTTGTATGAAAAATACTAGAAGGTTGGAATATTATCTAATTTGGAAGAATATATGCGTTGATATAATATATATGTCGCTAAAACGCTAAGAATCATGATGATAGAGATGCATCATCATTTTCTTATGTAACAAATTACGGACAAACATTTACCGGGGGTGGTGAAATAATAAAAACGCGGGTTTTCGCAATAAACGCAGAGAAAGAAAGTTAAAAAAAATTTTAAACGTAGAGAAACTTGCGCAAAGAATGAAAATAAACAAACAGAAAACGAGAATCATAACATTTCTATCTCTCTGTTGTTGTTTATCGATGAAGCTTGTTGTTAATGTCATCTCTCTATTTTTTTCTGACAAGTCCGTCCTTATCGATGGTTATCAAGGTAATGCTAATCCCATATTTATATCAATACTCCTCATATTATGTATATTTCGTATACTTGTCTAAATCTTCGTTGAAAGATCTGGTTTTTCGCGGTCGTGGGTTGCAACCCGAGGTCGGAGAACCCCTCCTCGGGAACTCCGTAAATGAGTGTAAAACCAGATCTTTCAAAGCGAGCTATTGTGTAGTCGATTTGTTAGCTATATTATACAATACGCGCGATATTGTGGATAATCTCACTTGTATACGCATTATTATACTTTGTTTTCCCTTGTTATTGCATACTCCAGAATGAATATGCATTTTTGGAATACTTTCGAAATACTTGGACGAACTTCAGAAACGAAAGAGGAAAGTTCATATTAATGTGCTAACATTGACGTGAACTTCTATTTTGTTCGAACGCAAGATATTCGAAAGCTTGCCTAATTATTTCGTAAGTATTCTGCATAAAGTCGCTGGCTTCTATTTAAAATCGAATTACTTCGATATTAAAAAAGTGTGTTAAAGAAAGAAATTAAAACCGAATTTTGCGAGCAGAATATATTCTTAATTTTTATCGTGAGAATTTATAATTTCTAAAGTGAATAGTTTGTGTATATTGTACGTATGTATACGTTGATATATCGATAGAACGGAAAATTGTTTTTTCACGTACACCGATACGTTGTGTACTACAGCTTTCTTTATATATTGTCAGCACAAAGGTATGCACTTGTCGACAGGAAGACGCCCACTGCAAGAATTATATAAAATATTGTTTGACAAAATAAAACAAAAAGATGCAACCTCGAGACTCTTGTAACGATCGTTCAATCTCCGATTTCATAGATCCGAATCTCCCAAGTCCGGTAAGAAGAAAGAAAAGTCCAAGAAGAAGAAGAAGGAGAGGAAGCACAAAAAGGCCGAGGCCACGTCGTCCGACAGCGACTCCAGCGAGGATTCCGATGACAGCAAGTAATAATAATAATTTATGTATTAAATAACAATATTTTCATTATATTGACTAAAATTTTTATTAAAATAAAAATTGCGTTTTTTATTGAACAATGTTTCAGCAATTTGTTAATAATTTAACTTTACAAAACATAGACTTGTTTTAGTATAAGATTATTTAATTAAAATTGATTATAAAATTAATGTGTAAGTTACACGGTGAAAGTAAATAACGAATGGATATTGCATAGCTCGTCCGAGGCTGAATCGAAGAAGAAGAAGAAGAAGAGAAAGAAAAAGCTCAAAGTCGACGGAAAGGACAAGCATGAGGTACGCACGATACTTTGACGAAAATTAAATATAAATTCCCGTCTCTTTTTCTGTCTCTGTTTCTCTCTTTTTACATATATATCTATATACGTATACTTCGGCACGTGAAAGTAGGTGCATGACTACGTCTCTAGTTTTCGTTTGTTTCTTCTCAATTTGTTAACCGGTTGACGCTAGGTTATCACTATTGTTTATCCGATTACTTAAGTTTACCACTTGTCTCGAAACGGATAGCATGATCGTCTCCTTCTTCTCTTTGCTGATCCCTTCCGGTTCGCTTGTTATTTTGCGTACCGTACAATTTTTCGTCTGATTTCCAGTTTTTCGACAGTTCATTATTTCAAAGTATAAATCTCAGTATTGTTTGTAATTATTCAGCGCCATTTGACAGGAGACATTCCCTGAGTGAGTACCAGATATGCCGCTACTCAATGTAATTTCTAATTTTGTGAATTCATACGTACTCGTATACTTTCGAATTTTACGAATTTTACTGTTGTGTAAAAGCCTCTCTATTTCTCACTCGTTGTATGTCAAGCACTATTACACACTAATTACGGAAGATCGATCTCGGAGACTGCTTGTTCTGAAATGAAGGATTATCATTGGAATATGTTTTTGAAAGGGAATTGCCACACATGATTAGAAAAGGAAAGATTAAAGAAATAGAATAAGTAAGATTTTGGATCTTTGTGCCTATAGAAATCTTTCAATTTAATGTGCATCCTGAAAAGGCAATTCGTAGTTAACACTTTAAAAAATATATATATATTCTTATAATTATATATTAACTTATTCTATCTTACATTAAATCTCCAAGTAATTTTTAAGAAAATTAATTTGACAGTCACTGTAACATAATAATTATATTATTTTGCATAAATTTAATTTTATAATAATCATTATAATGCTTATTTGTTCCATTATCATTTCTGAATGGACCAAACCTTCCAAAACTTGTTTCATTAGAATGTATGAAAAAGGGTTGTAAAACCCTTTTACTTTACTCAACCTCCATTTTGGAGAATTAGACTTGTTTTTAAAATTTATTTGTTATTATTTAAAGGTTTTTCTCTTCGAGTCTTTTCCAGATGTGCAGAAATATATATCAACGAATAAACTATCTTATATTCTCATATTTTTATCATTACTGACGATAATTGTTGATTAGAAAAGGAGCAGACTCCGGAAAAGTTCTTTAAATAAATACGTCGTTCCTTTTTTTGTCGCATTTTTTTTTTCATTGTACTCTTGACGAATGCATGATTGATGTTCATTAATTAGAGTCAATAAACAATATTGATCCATTGGATTTCCTTTTAGAAGAAAAAGACCTCGACTAAACGGAAACGTCAGTCATCCGAAAGCTCCACGGACAGGTACGTCGAGTATTGCTCTTGTTTCCTTAATTAATTAATTAATTAATTTTTTTTCAATTTCTACGATCGTTATTTTACAACTAACACTTATTAATAGAAAATCGACAATTTTTTAATAGTAATTTATTTGCTTAAATTATTATTTAATTCTTTTATTTGATTTCTGATTCGATGTGGATTGATTTTACAGCTCCGTGGAAAGACCGAAAAAATCGGTGAAATATGAGAAAAACACCGTTGTGGAGAAAGCGTCGAGAAATGAAGTTCCCGAAAGTACCGTGATCTCGCGAGAACCACTTCCTCCTCGATCGATTCGATCACCGAAGCGAGAGGCATTTTCTCGAGCAGCAATATCTCGGAATGAGACTCCGCCGCTACCACCGTCAACTGTTACTAAAACGAAGAAAGATTCGCCGAAGAAGAGCGTGGCGGAGAAGCGGGATAAATCGCCGGTGAACCACAACAGGAGTCCTGCTCCATCGTCAAACAGGCGACACAAATCATCCTCCAGAAGCAGAGGTGATAGAGGCGACAGAAACGATAGAGACAGGGATAGAGACAAAGATAGAGATAGAGATAGAGGAGGAGGAGGAGGAGGAGGAGGAGGAGGAGGAAGATCTCCCAGGAGATATTCGAGGTCTCGTCGCGCGAGTCCGTCTCCCAAACGAAAACGAGGATATTCTAGATCACCCAGAAGACACGGCAGACATTCTCTGTCCAGGAGCAGAAGCCGCTCCAAGTATGATCGTTACGGATCCTCCCGCAGGAGACCTGTGTCTCCACCGGCGAGACGCAGAGAGTCCGATTCTCGTCGAAGATCACGCTCGGCGAGGCGACAACAACGTCGGCGATCCCGATCGCGCTCCACCTTGAGCTATTCGCCGGTTAGAAAGAATCCAGAGCGCTACAAGGACATTCTGGAAGATCGTAAGGGACGGCGGGATCAGAAGAAGAAAACTAAGGGCGACAAGGCTAAGTCGCGCTCGACATCGAGAAGCAGGAAAACGCAGCAGATAGCGGTCGCGCCTAGAGTGAGTCTGAGATCGTCGAGCGAGGATGAAGCCGATCTGGCCGACGACGAGCCCAGGAAGCAGCAGCAGCAGGAGGAAGACGAAGAAAGAAGGATTATTGAACTGAACACATTGAAACGACTGCAGAGTGGCCTGGCGGCGAAGGCGCGGGAGACGCTGGAGAAGAAGGTGATCAGTCCCACGAAGATCAAGATTGAGAGGCGGGAAGATGTGTTAAATATCGCTCTACCGAACGAACCGCCGAAAACCATTGCGCAGAATTCGACTGTACCGATTCGAGACAGATCCGCGTCAAAGGAACCAGTTATACAGGCTTTACCGGTTATACAGTCGCCGGTGTCCAGCAGATCGCCCTCGCCGGCTCTACCTCTCACCCGAGAGGAGGCGGCGATTAAGATTAGATCGCCAAGCGAGTCACCACCACCGCTGCCGTTGCCTCAGCAATCCTTCGAAAAAGTCGATTCCGCGTCTCCTGGTATGAAGACCAAGACAAATAGTCAATTTTCGAGATCGCCAAGTTCCTCCGGCAAAAAAGACTCGCCGCCAATCGCGTCTTCGAAGAAAGATGCCTCGAAGAGGGAGTCGTCCTCTCGTTCTCCTACCGCGATAATGATATCCAGAGAGGATAATGTGATAATGAAACTGCGTTCGCCCAGCGAGTCACCGCCCCCTTTGCTGAACATCCCGTTAGCCAGATTGAATCGGCGCTCGAGATCGCCAAAGAAAAGCAAATCGTACTCCAGATCGGCATCGAGATCATGCACAAGATCGCCGTCCGTCGTGGACAAAGTGAGGTCTTCCAGATCGCCGTCCGGGGACAAGAAGTCGCGGTCCCGTTCGCGAGGCAAGAAATCATCGGCATCGCCCGGACGACGATCGACCTCCCGATCGGCCTCTAGAGCGAAGAAATCGTCGCCGAAGGTGAGAACAAAACAGCAGCGCTCGCCTCGATCGAGATCTACTTCGGTGGAATCAAAGCGCTCGAGCGCGTCGAGATCGCCCTCGAGGTGTAAGAAGTCCGCTTCGCGATCCAGAAGCAGAAATCGATCGTTATCGAAGAGGAGATCGCGCAGCCGCTCTTCCCTGTCAAAGAAGTCCAGGAGTAGATCGTTGTCGAAGAAAAGATCACACAGCCGTTCTCTATCGAAGAAATCCAAGAGTCGCTCGCGATCGGCATCGAGAGTGTCCAGAGACAAGGACAAGCGCAGTCATAGTAGAAGCAGTTCACGTTCCTCCGTTAGGTAAGAGCTCGTAATTTAGTGACCAGCTCTAAATAAAATTATTAAAATCGTACAAAAACATTTTGCTAAATGTTTTGCGTGTCTCTTCCTTCTTCAGCTCGAGGCATAGTCGAGGTAGAAGTTTTTCCAGTTCATCGAGATCGTCAAGTAGTGTCTCCAGTCGATCCTCCCGCTCCACCTCCAGCAGCTCCGCCTCCAGTAGATCACGCTCACCGTCGATACCTCGGCGTCACGGTTCACCCAGCTTCCTGGACAGACGACGTATCACGAGGTAGGTATCGCGAGACTGTGTGCGTTGCATTATCTCATGGTAGTTTATATATACGTATATATCTATACCATGCACTCTGTATGCGCGCGCGCGCTGGACTCCATGAGCCCACCACCGTAATCGTAGACTTTAATTTGTCACTGTTATTAGTTACACAATTTCTTTTAGTTTACATTTCTTTTGTTATTAGAGTTTTGTTATTGTTATTATATACAATATCGTATCATTATTATAATCGCTAAAAAAGAGAAAGCTTAAGAAATAATTTTTTAGAAGAACTGTTTAAAGTTTGCCGAAAAGAAATGTTAGAGAAACTTTTTTTCGACGAAAGACAGATAATTTGTCAACACGATTAAGGATCTTGATTTTCGGTGTGCTAATATTGTATTTATTATGTCCTACAGGGACAGATCAAAGGACAGGCATAGAAGATAGAATTATGGCTTCGCGCAGCATATAAACATATAGCAATAAAGTCTGATATATATAGACTTATATATATTGAAATTTTCCTCTAAGCAATTTAGAAACTTGCAATTAATACTTTGACCGCCAGAAATTAATATCCTTTGTATTAATATTGTATTATCTTTTATTTGTATCGTTTATATATATAAGAGTGAGCAAACGTGACTATTTTGGTATAATAGATTTTATAATAATAGATTTTAGTTCCGTGCTATTGAATAAAAGTGTACTGATTAACGTGTCTTTAACTAACGTCTAAATAATGCGTATGAACATCACTCGATAACGTTTATCTGGCGAATAAAAATATCTCAATCAATGATCTGACAGTCAAGGTGTTAAATGGCGTATGTAGTATATATGTGACGTTTAGTTACAATATATAATTGTATAATCAAGTTCATTCAAATGTAACAAATGTAATAACGGAAGCAGGAAAGTTTTATGTAAATTATGACCAAATATCGTAATTAGCGATCATAATTATCGACAATCTCGCTCGTAGAATAACTTAGCGTTGATATTTTATTTCGTATCTTCAGATTTTTCATTTGTACAATCTTTTTTTTTCTTTCTTTTTCTCTCCCTTTTTTTCTAATCATCAAATCACTCGTATAATTGATCCACGAACATTATGTAGATATAGCATGCGTGTATGTTTCCTTTATAAATATTGTAAATGAAATTGTTGTCTCACAGATATATGCAGTAGAAGATTCCTTTTATTTTATTGTCAGTCGCTAAATAAAACAGATTTGCCGGCAAAAAAACGAATTTTTTTTTCCTTGGTTTATAATTTCTTAATTATAATTTTCTTAATTTAATATTTTTTGCGGTTTCTGAGTGTTTCTCGCGCCACTGCGTTCTCCAAAGAAATAGACAGGTAAGTTGTCACATTTTTATTTTGCACGTTCCCATTTTCCTGCAGCTTGTTTAATTTATTTTCGCCACGTCGCATGCGCATTTTGCTGTCTGTTTTATTTTCCATGATAACAATCGAACTTTCGTTATCGAGATATAAATTAATCGATGCGTAGATTGTATGCTTAACGTGTAAGGATTATCTACTATTAATACTTATTATTATTTACTAAATATTTAATTATTAATTATCATCATTTAGAACTAACTTATGTTATTAGTCTTAAACATTTACTAACGAATAATAATAATTATTTTATGATATATTAAATCATCGACAATTATTGTCATTATTACCCTCAACTTTTAATATTATTATTCATAATTAACTAAACCTTTGCTAATACGCAGAACAAGAGAATGACGAATATTTTATCATCTTCCGCTCTTTCAAAATTAACATTTGTAAATAACATGCGTCCTTCGTCAAGAAAGTATCCCGATATTCTAACGGACATTCGTTTTAGCGCGAGGAAACGTCCGATCCCGTATCATCGACCAACTCCAACACCACCCTCGTCGCCAAGCAGTTCCGAGAGCAGCAGGCATAGCAACTGGTCCAGTCCGAGTCATCGATCCAGCTGTTCCGCGAGTCGTAGTCCGTCTTACACTCGTTGAGAAAGACGCGTATTGAATTCCTATAATAAGGAATCGACGTTCCTTCTTCGTACACTAGACTCAGAGCGGTGTGTAATTCGATCCTTTACAACCTGAAGGGGATCACCGTGTCCCGCTAATCAATTCCCGAGATATTAATTTATAAACCATTCAAATATATATTCAAAGCTATATTAATTTAGAGAATTATAGTTGTAAATATTAATTTAAAAATGAAAATTCAGGTCATAGAGGATTGAAGAGTGTTCCAGAGCGGAAGTTTAATAATGTCTGTTAAGTTTTCCGAAAGGAGAGATTGCACGGAAGTATTCCATAGATAAATGGATACGTTATACATTACGAAACTAAGAAATCGATCTTCGTTAGCAATAATTTCGAATCATTGATTTATCGTGCTGTTCATTCGATTGAATTTCACGAGGAATAACGCTATGTCCGTACTTTCAGTCAATTTTGAGATACCCTGTATATGAATTGTACACGATATTAATTAATTCTAACGACAACAGTCTAAAGATCTAAAGATCTTTGAAAGACTGAGTCGACTTTCAGATATTTTTACGTTTATAGGAAAAGAGATTATTTATATGTTAATTTTATGAACTTAAGGTTTTTGATTTGCAATCAGGATTACCTAGAAATCCAAGGGCGGCTGTTAATTACCAGAATTAATATTATTATTATTATTTGAAAGGTATTTAATTTCATTCAATTGAAATTAATTTCGAATGGAAACGCCATTCCGAGCAAAGTGTATAGTTACAAATCTGAATATGCATTTATTTATTTTTTTGATAATTCAACAAGACATTACTTAAGAAAACCGGCTTATAAAATTAAAAAAGAAACAGTAAATATCGGTCGTAGTGATAACATATTACTTATTTCAATAATCTTTTTCTGAAAAGATATCAATTTTATATTTATTTCGAATTTTTCGAATTACAGTGCAATTTTGCGATTATTGTTGATACTATAGAAGATTATCGTAAAGAAAAATGGATATCAGTGTAGATTTTAATGTATTATACTCTCTTTCTCTATCTCTTTCTCTAGTCGAACAGTTCTAGTCGAACTCATATTAACATGGTGCAGTAACTTCATTTTTTAATAATTTCTACAAAAGGTTTTCACTTGATTTAAAAGAAATATTTATTAAATGAGAAAAACGTACAAGATAAGCGGATATTTTAATAACAGATACGAGAATTTTTTTTCTCTCTCTGTGAAACGTGAGATTTTTATAAAATGTTCAATCTTTCTATCTTTAAAATTGTAAATTTCTATTATGAAATTTCGTAAATCACCTTTGTGTTACTCAAATCATTATTTGCCAATTCTTAAGCAATAACGGAAAAGGAAAAAGCTGATTGAGCATCCTTCGTTCATTAGTCACTACAATATTCAATAATATATAGTAGTTTAGGCGTTTATTTGCATAATTGCTTTCCAAATCGCGCTATATCAGAATTCCTTTAGTTTAGATTTACTAACGGATCTTATGGATTCAATTTACGTGTTCATAATTTCTTAGTGCAATGTTATTGATTCGTTCTTTTGTACATAGATGTTCTTTTGTAAACTCTGCATATTGCTTAAGTAGTTTAAATCCTCTTTAAACGTATATATATAAAATTATTTATATATAGAGAAAATTTAGAAATTTTTTAATTTATTATTTACATAATGTATTTATTTATTTATTTATTTGATAAAGCAGTCTAGTTTTAGCGACCGTGTAAAGAACACTGCGGTTCTTTAACACTGCAATACTCGCAAACTTGGAAAAAAAATACTCTAGTCACAGGAAGATTATTTCTCGCGAGGGCTCTAAACTTGGGGGCCCAGGCAGCGACGTACCAAAAAGACATAATTAGAATGTTAGTCTCGATGCGCGGTTACGCGAAGTTAAGTCTCGAAGATATATGTTATAGGGTTAAAGAAGGATCGTATTCGGAAAGTCTACATGCATTGTTTACGACTTGACAGAGAAATTACGTAGCGCTATAGCTCTCTCTTATACTCGTAACGACTGATTTCTTTCTAATGAGGAATTCCCCGACCGCTAATATCGAGTCATTGCGTACGAAATGTATAGCTGACATTCAGCATATCTGAAAATGTGAATATTTTTATTCTTTCCATCTTTTTAAATTCTGTACATTATTGACATTGAGAATTCTGATTTCTTACTTTGAAAAATATAGAAAAAAAATGTAAAATTCTCTTATTACTGGCGTATACTGTACATTCGAAAATTACATTTTATACGCAATGACTGCTCGATCCAACGCTGTTGAGCTCCATATTAATGTAGTTCGGATACATTTTACAATTTTTCCAGTGCAATGATTGTGATTGCTCCCTTCCTGAGATTCGTTTCCGCGCGCGTATAATATAATATATATATTCGAATATACAGCGAAGTTATATGGGAATGTTAAAAGGGAATGTTTAAACTCGAAAATAATATCTCTCGCACGCCGTTGTTACCCTGATCGCTTAAAACATCTCCGAAATAATCAATAAATTCTATCGTCAGAAACGATACGACGTGCGAGAAAATCACTTTCAAAGAGCAGAATTGCTCTAGATCTTTTCGTCAATTCATCATTGAGAGGAACTCATCGCGACTCCCAAACCTGATCTGTATCCGCTTATGATTTACAGTCATCGAATGTTGCTGTCTCGTTAAAGTGGAAGAAAATTCGGATATTATATCTGTAATATACTCTGTATTGTTGTTGTGTGATTAAATCGAAAACCTTAAACACACGCCACATTTTGTTTCTGAAAACTTTACTCCATATCTCGAGACAAATATTACAGAAGATCATAAAATCATAAAATATGATATATTATGGTTGATATATTAATAGACTTTGATATAGATCATTAAAAGTATAAATAAAAATAATAAGTAAACAAACGTCGGTATTTAATAAGCTCGTCGGAAATATAAATGCAGTATTAAAAAAGAAAAAGATGATAACTAACAAAGAATAGTTACGTAAGAATAATATAAAAATAAATAAAAAATGCAGTTTGCATGTAAATCTTTATATTCTTATTTATATCCTGGTTTTTTGGTATTTTTTGGTATCAAAATATCAATTACACTTATATTTAGCACCATTCCAATACGCATTACAATAAATCAGTATATTTTGTACAATTTTTAAATCAATATCAACAAATCATAACGATGGAATGTATTATCAACATAATATTACTTTACTTTGTACAAACAATGAAGGTGCTGTTAATATAAAGTTCATTACACGTTAATTCGTATAAAGTAATCTTATCGCTTTGGCTTTCTGAAATGATCAAGAAGCATCTAGCACACATATACATTAGCGTATTATTGCATATAGTTACAAAAATGTCTAAATGATTGCAATAGGTTCTCGTGTTTTTCTACTTCTCTTTGGAAACTTTTGCTCTCTTATTGGCAATATAGATAATCCATGCGAAACCGATGAGGTTCACCACCAAGACCCTCAACTAAAACGAATAAGATATTAAGGATCGTTTGCAAGTTTTTAACATTGTCTATAAACAATTTCAATATCAGGAGAAAGAATGATATATACAAAATATATAGAGTAAAGAAAAGAAAATTCAACATCCAAAACAAAGAATTTTTTTTTAATTAAAATTCTATTCTGAAAATAGAAGAATGATCTAGAATTCCTACTATTCCAATAGGATAATAAGCATATTACATTACCATTGGTGGAACATATTTTATATTGATAAAATGGAACAGCGTTAGGTACTTCAGATTAGCCATCAATGTCGGTAAATATAATCGTTGCATGTGAGCACATGCCACTTGATGGGGCTTGCCCTGCAAACAGATTTCTATTTAGCGCTAAATTACAAAGTAAAGACTGTCAGCATAATCTTGTTCAATCACTAAAAAGTTCCTAACATTACTCTTGTTGAGATAACTTCACTCAATTTATCGCATTAATACATTTTTATTTTATGTATTGCAAGTCTATCTTCGTACCTCGAAGATGGCAAGCAGGTAGAGCGCGAGTGCCTGGAAACACGGCGTGTAAATAAGCCTCTCTATCAGAAGTATCCCCAGGGGATTCTTCACGAACAATCGTACGTATGTGTAAAAGTAATGTGGCACTGGCCCTCCAAACAACAAGCTGCAACATTTCGCGCGCATGAGAGGCCGTAATTTCTCAAACCTGCTTCATTAGCAGCGCACACAAATTATGGTCTGCAGCTTACCCAAACAGAGCAAAGGCCAGGACACTGTCCTCGTTAAGCTGCTTGGCGCCAGACAATTTCTGAGACGCCACATTTCCCAGGACTGCGACAATGCAACTGAAAACAATTACAATTTTCTCTATCATCTAATTTATCAGTGCAATCATACGTATAAGCCTGGTTTGTAAATATGCTTATTGGAATATTTTGTAGTATATAAAAATATCCAATAAGGAGAGAAATATGTTAATATGCTGGCATTTTGCCAGCAGATTTGATTAAAATATTACAGCAGATTAACATTAACAACATTTGCATTAAACTCGTTTTGTTGATAAAATTGTGGACGATAAAATCTGCTGATATAATCTGATGCGGCAAAAACCGAACAAACCTGTTATATCACAATTATTTAAATGGAATACTTATATCATTACAAAATGGCATTATGTTATATTTCTGCTGGCAATCTGCCAACAAAATTTATAGCCCTTGTGGAATCTCTTTTTCATTTGGTTGCATGGACATTTATTAAGATGTTTTTTAGTGTGTATATGTACACATATATAAATACATTATCTTTATATACCCTATATTTATATAATAGATAATAAATGTTTTTATTATATCATTAATTACAATTCATGACTAAGGCCGGTTGTGATATAACGCGTGTGCTTAGTCATGTATACTTCTGAGTACATGCAAAATTCTACTGCGTTGTTACCTCGTTACAGCTTTTGTCCTCAAGGGACTGTTGTAGAGCCGCTCTAGGTACGCGCCGATGAGACTGTACATGAGATTGGCCGGCTTGGAGAGCGACATTTTTGCGCAATTAATTGCCACCTGCCCCTCGACTTGGTCCTGAAAGACACAAGATTTGTACGGCGAGTCGCGAAAAATGTATGTAGATTGTGCGATAAAAAAACAAGGTGCAAAGTGCAAACCGCTGTCAGCTGATAAACAGATCCCCCTTCTGGAGTCGCTCCTAGAAGGACGACGGGTTGCTCAATTGCAACAGTTTTTTATCACATTGCGATTTACATGACGAACGTGGAACGTGTACTGAGAACGCAAATACGTCGAGATCTGAGAAATACTTTGTACGAACGCGAACTTGGACGGAGATCCCGAGAAGTCTGCCTGCGCAATTCGATCCGATCTCCAGGGACTCCAGACTCCAGGCTGGAAATGCTGGAATTCGACAATCGATTCTTCCGCCGAGTATACGGTTCTTCGAGACGTATGGCTAACAAGTGGCAACTTCGAACGAGATCGATTAATGTGCAGGAATTACGAAATCTCGAGGATTATAACCTCGTTCCGCGAGCCAGACTTCGACGTTAGTTTTTATCGCAGAAAACGCTCGACACAATTGTCTTCTTTGAGGCTTCATTTTAATTTAAATAACTGAAAGAAAAGGTATTTTGTCGGTCTCGGTAAAATCTACGAATGTGCGTGACTACCGAACTGGCGATATGATTGACAAAAGTAATACAGTGGGCAATGAGAAAAAGAATTTTTGTGCATATTTTAATGTCGAAAAAGTGCTCGCAATCGTTTCTGTTCGCAATTATATGTTTAAAAACTCGATCAACCATTTACCTAATTTAAAGAATATAACATTTCTCTTGCAATGGACATTATTGATCAATCGGTTTTTCTTGTTATATATTATTTATACAAAATTTATTTGAATAGACTTTACGACTTATTTATTATTTAGAATCTGAATTCGTGGAATATGGATTTGTTGTAAAGGATTGTTAAAATATAAAATATAAACCATTATATAATGACACTTAAACACTTGTTCAAAAAGTGTGTATATCTACACTGACAGTTTGTATTAACAGCAGCACTTCAAAATGCATACTCCAATATAACTATACAATATTTCGTATATAAAAAAATATTACATGATTGAATTATTTTACAAGCTAACGTTGGTCAGAAATTAGTATGTACAACATTTGGTCATTCGTCAAAATATCAACTAGGTTGCGCGTCAACATTCTTCATTTCGACTGGACTGAGAATGGTGAGCACGTATTGCAGAACCTTGACCAGTTCCTGCTCCTGTTTACTGGCGTCGATACTCGACAACGTAAATCTGCCGAGGGCTTCCCGAATGCTCTGCGAGAACCCGGCGCTTCGCGCGATAAGCTTTCCTTTTTGGTTGTTGCTGATCAGAGACCACAGCATGGATCCAGCTAGATTGATCTCGCATGGTGATCCATTCTTGAAGACGTCGTGCAGCAGATTGATGAAATCCACTGAAAAATAGCAGACATTTAATACGATTTGTAATGTAAATACAAATTATTGCATCTTTCTTAGGTTTACACTCGTTTATTTACCTGAACTAAGAAGCCGAGGTCTGTTTGCTATGTTGAACGCTAAATTGCGTAATATCGATATTGCGAGAACTTTGCTCGATGACGAGGAACATTTTGCTAAGTGCATTAAAACGTCCAGAGCATCGGTGGCCTGAAAATGTTACCATACAGTTGTCACAAGCAACTAATATACATGTTTCTATATTTTACCTTTGGTACGCATAACTGTCCCTCCTCGTAATAAGTAAAATCTATTAAAAATTCTAGACAATATATTTCCACTAATGGCCACGGTTTCACCCGTTTGGTGATGGTGGGATGTATCTTGGTAAAAAGCTGGAGAAGATTACTCTGTAAAATGAACCATTAATTCATAATTAATTAATCAGTTTGGAAACAGCAGTCTCATTACTTTGAGACTATTCTGTAATAATAATAATAATGAGATGATTTAATTACCTTCGAAATGCAGACTCTACACTCGTGAACGTGCACCGCATTTCGCAGAATGTGGAAGGCGAAGTGCATCTTGTGATTATCGAAAATTTGACCGGCCCTTTCAATTTCTTTGCACGTTACTTGTATGACGACATGTATCAGCGCGAGCGTATTCGGCGTTTTCCTCAATCCACTTCCCGGTAATATCGTCGTTAATGTTAAAGACTGTGCGGCTAAAAAATTAAAACGCAATTTAAAAAGATTGCATATTATTTTTAACAGAGAAATCGTATAATCTTTCTCAAAGTTGTTAATAATAATTAAATAAAGCGTAGGTTTTTAAACGTAATCTTACCAACGTTACATTTCGTTGTGAATGTCGCGAGCAATTTTAAAGCAGACGTTGACACTGTTTTATTTAACGCTATCCAGGCCCATAACTTGTGCACCACGTCCGCTAAGCCCTCTTTCGTCAGGGTTTCTTTAACACATACATCTCCGCACATGAAGTTCATCAGAAGTATGAAGGTACAATTCACATCGTGCAACAAAGGATGAGTCTGTGCAACAAAAAAAGACAAGTTCTTACAAATTCATACAGGAAATTATGATCGAAATTCCATGTATTAAAGTCTTTCCCTGCCTTTTTCTCCGCTTGCTTCTTATAAAGCTCAAACGGTTGAAGATTCAGCTTGACATACAATTCTTTTAGGATCATCAACGCGGTCTCGGGAAGATTACCCCGTAGCGCCGCTCGCTTTGCCTTCTTCGACACGCACAGTAGATTAGTAAGGGCACCTACAATAAGATCTTTATCCTCCGATTGTTTGCTGCTCTTTTTGGATTTCGTGTAACTGTGAGCGATGAAAAGATGCAGTAACAGTCCACATAATTCGCCTCCTATGGTAGTTTGTCCTTGATCTGGTAGCTGATCGTCTTTCGTGCGCAAATCTTTCTCGCTCTCGTTTGATTTTCTGGAATGCACATTCGCGTCTCTTATTGATAATTTGTTGACGTTCGATATGATATCTCGCAAACCACTATCTTTGCTTTCGATCGAGACATGCGCCACATTAGTATCGAGCACGGTTTGTAATAGAGAGGTGCCGCTTCTTCCCAAGGAATCTTTTTGAATCTCGTGGGACAGTAGAAAAGCTAAAGCACTAATGGCGCTCATTCTCAGATCTGTCGTAGAGTCCTTTATCGCAAGACAAATGGAAGCCAAGACCGTTTCAGGCCCGCACAATTCTAACGCGCTTTGAATGGCTTCAAAATGTTGATCCTCCGTTAACGAAAGCACAGCCACGAAGTTGTAGATTTCCGTCCAAAGTCTGTTACGCAGATATATCAGGTGCAGTTCGGCAGACTCTGAGGAAATTAATATATGGAACGTTGTTTAAAAATCCAATTATACATTTGTGACGAATAAATGTTCAAATACGTACGGTATAAATCGATATTTAAGAAGCAAAATAGAATATAAAGCGAGTCCGGGGAAAAGAGTACGACGGCTGCGTACTCGTTGCTATGCGTGATGCAATTTGTTAAAACTGTGCAGATGCTGATATACATTTCCAGCGTATCAGAATAATGACTCAGACTCTTCCTGCTCCTGATATCCTTCGGAATCTCAGTCAAACACCTTGAAACGAGAGATCAAATGAGATAATATAAGTGAAAAAAGATAATCCAGCGTTATAAATTTTTCTACATACATACCCGAATAAATACTTATCGATGGAATATTCGTAGACTTGTCGTACAACCTCGTGTTGTCCGACGAATATTAAATTATTCAATAAATTACAAGCAGCTGTAATGAGCGAAGGCGTCGCTATTGATTGCAAAGGATTGTCCACATCTGTTATTTCCGAAACTCTGCCGGAAACTGTAAGAGAAATAAAGAAGAATTGAAAAAAAATATAATTAAAAATAAAAGAGTTATAGTATATAACTAAATAATATAATTACAGAGTTGTAATTCATCCTGACAGTTGTATAAGTGCGATACGGTGCGCGGTACCAATGAAATGCAACTAGATTGCAAACTTTGTACAATAGTTGCTTTGCCGTTGTTTCCTTGACATTCCGACTCTTCCGCATCTAAAGTCGTCGACGTATAGATATTTGAACACAGAATGCTGATTTCATGATAGATGTTGCATTGCTCGGCATGTATCAGGATAGCTTGTGGTTGTAAAGAATCATCCTGTATAAAAAGAAAATTTTCTAAAGTATGTACATAGCTTCAATTTGTATTTCAGCAATTTAGAAACGTAGGAAAATATGAGTATGTTCTATGTGATATTAATTAAAATAGAGAAATTTAAAATTTTAAGACTAATGCCTTCTCGACATTTTTGATTTAATAATATATCGTGCTCTCACACTTACACATTGAAAAGCCATAGAGTTGCAGTTTTTGAGGATGTTGCAAAACGCGATACACGCTTGTTCTCTCACTAAACAAGATTCGTCCCTGCTTGTGATGCACTGAAGCAACGTGTGACACAAGTCACTCGGTGCCATGGCGATTGCGTTGAAGAGTTGCGACGCAGTATGTACTGTGTTCATTAGACCTGCCAATAATTGTAAAGCCGAGGCGCGAACCAAAGGATCTCTATTTTGCCATAACATGGGTAACCAACTTAACGAGCGTCCCTCTTCGCACCAAAATACTATCCACGACTGAAACAATGTGACAATCGTATTATTCACTTGAATCGCAATTAATAATTAATACAGAAATAATACGTTAATTTGCAATAAATAAATAATAATTTGTACGTAATATCGTTTTCAAAACGATATTAAATTGAAATTACTTACACTTTTATTAAAATTGATTTGCATCTGATGCAACAAGTGATTAAGACATATTATCGAGTTTCTTGTTATTGATAAACCCATAAAGCTAACAGTACCAGCACCATGAAAGGACACGATCGGCTCGATAAGCGTGTTGCAAAGAGACAATAGTAGATTTTTATGATTTCTCCATTCGCATTGCCCGATCAGATACGTCAAACACGTTAACAGCCAATCGAGATATGCTAAAAAAGAGAAGGAAGGATATTCATAATATCAAACTTTACGAAATCAATATTGTAAAATATAGATGGGTATCATTAAAATTTAGATGTAATATATTTAACAAATATTAATACCGAGATTGTAGAAATGCTGTTGATCCCCGAAACATAATGTTGAAACGACGAACTCTACAAATCGTATCCAGGTGTTCTTAGGTTCGTCGTTAGATTTCTGCATTTTTTCGATCGCCGAACATGTACGTACTAATTTCAGTATAGATTGATGTACATTCTGATTGTCAACTTCTAAGTTCTTAAATAAATCTGCCAATGATCTCGTCATGTTTTTCATAATCCTACTGATCCACGAACCTTTTCCTGAAAAAATAGAAAAGGATCATTTTAATATATAATTCGTATTTGAGAAACGCAAGTATACGCTCTCTCAGCATTTGCTATTCAATCATCTCTCACCTTTCTTTGCAACATTTAAATACAATTGTAAAAAGATTAGAACGTCCACGAATAAATCACAGTCCTCTTTACTTGTAGGATGCGATAATAAAAATCGCTCGAACGTTTGTTCCCACGGCAGTGACTCAATATCTTTTTCATCGTTACGTTGAAGTACTTTGTAAAATTTCAGATACCTGAAAAATCAAATAATTATAGTAGATAACAAACAATATGCTGTAATATGCGTTTGATACGCGCTTAAGTTTGATGCGTTAAAATCAACAATAGTAATGAAAATTATTAGCTACAATAACTTAACAATTACTTACATTGTGAGGTAATCTAACGCGCATATAACGCTATAGTGCGTAGTAGAATTTTGAATATTGTAGAGTTGCTGTTGACAACAATACTGTGGAAAACTGCATTGTAAAGAGAGAAGATCCTTTTCAAGAATCATCAATTTCTGTGCAATTTCGGAATCCTTTAAATCATCTAAGCATTTCCATAACATGTTTATGCCGCCGTTCCATTCCCAGGCCCAATACTGTCTGATGAACGTTAAGACTATTGGTTTGCTGCCATGAATTACTACAAATTATAAAATAAGAAACTATTAACTTTCCGTTAATTCTATAATAACTCGCGAAATCGTACAGAATTAGTAACATATTCTTTCCAGCTGAAACATTTTATAAGTATTATTACTTACATGATACATCAGATCGCCTATGTATACTCGTCTTCCAATGAGATCTGCACACGAACGGCAGTTTCATGTTTGTCACAACAATATATGGCAACGAGATATGTGACGCAATGTTGTTTTCCACATCTTTTTCGTTAACTCTAATGATATATTCGCTGTAGAGTAGTAAGCACAATAGTTGCGCGCCATCGGATTTTACACACTCGTTGTTTGGAAACAAAAAGAGGCCTAAAATATAAGATTTTATGCATTTAGCATCAAACTTATATTATAAATTATGCAAATAGCAGTGGAACTTTACTAGATATGTTTAAATTAAATTTTAAACAAGTATATGAATTTAAAAAATTATGATAAAATACATACTTCTTATGATACTAAAAAGAACATTAGTTTTGAGAGATAACTCATGTCGTATGGTACATTCAAAAAGTGCGAGTAGTTTTAATATGCTGATTATTGGTATCACAGAATCTGCGTAATTTACATAATCCTTTTCTACCTAAAAACATTTAATATATTTAAAACATTTAAATCGGATGAGAAACATTTGTAATATTCTTTTTTATCAAGTATTTTATCAAGTAACTTACCAGGGCTTTATTGAAAATATCCAAAATCAAAGATAGTCCACCTTGATTAATAAACAATTTATGCAAGGAAGTGTCGGAAAGCATCACGCTAATTTGTACTAATGCAGATTTTCGAATTTTCGGGTCGACATTTGGTTCGTTCAACATTTCCAGCACAGATAACATATTGCTCCTCTGTAAACAAAGTATTTTTGTGAATTACGTTCGAAATGATATATACATTTTATATACATATATTTCTAAAATTGCATTTTAATTTTTAATATTAATTTTAATAATTTAAAAAATATACATAAGGACAATTCTCTGCCAAATGACTAAATCAAGACCATAAGAGATTTTCAAATATTCTGAATGCAAATATGTAACCTGATAATTGCCTTCTGATCGCTTAATGGAGTTTCTACGTTCAAATAAGCAGAGTGAGCTAAGAGGCAAGCCGTGTAAAGACGACAAACGTGGCAATTTTTGGACAGAATCCTTTTCCTTCCCAAGAAGCCAGATTAACCGACACAACGCTTCTTCCCGGATATCACTGTCTGGTGAATAGAGAAATCTCAAATTACCTTTTAACACCTAAAAAATTGAAATTTATATTAAAGCACATAATAAATAATCACGAAAAAATGTCTGCGATCTAGTTAAATTACCTCAAGAAAAGGCAACTGTATACTGTTGGAAACATCAGGATCAAACATTTTAGTTATACATTGGCCTAAGGGTGTATGTGTATCAGCGTGACACTGTAAGAGATACAATACAGGAACGAGAGCTTCTAAAGCTTTTAACCATCCAGTTTCGCCCATTTGTATTCTTCCTTTCAGTATAAATACTAACATGTCTCTCGATATCTCATTTATCTGTGTATCAAATCAAAATTAAATTAAATTGTAAAATCAAAAACTGCACCATAACTTTGCAACACAAAAATGTTTGATTAAAAAAAATTGTCTATTACTCTGCTATCCTCGCTAGTTGCGCCATGAGAAATGATTTCTGTCAAGACATTTGGTTCAAACAGGAACGTCAAATTTTCCCACGATAGTTTACTATATTCTACTCCTAGAATACTCTTAATCAGGACGTGGCATTCGACATATGTGGTATATCGGATGTCTACATCTGCGTTTGCTAATAAATTCAATATCAGTTTTGTTGCCAACGCATGATCCTCATCATTTAAAGAATATCTCGGGATGTCTTGTAAAAATTTTACAGCCGTTTTAACGACAGTTAAATTTTTATGATACGACAGACTCAATTTAGACGCACGTAACATTCTTAACGTTTCCGAAGGCGATTGCTCCGATAAATTTCTTAATATACAGATAGCTGACTGCATAGACTTTGCGACGGTTCTAGTATCATCGAATAGTTTTATCAGTGCTATCTGATTAGCATCCTGAAATTGCTGCAAATGAAAATGATTGTATTAACAGTGATAATCGGCATTAATGAGTGGAATAGAAAAATAAGAATTGTATTACTTACACGAGCATATTCTAAAAGCATAGAATGCAATGCTGGGTACAATAGATATATTGGTGCGTCCATTATAGCATTTGTTATTGATTCTTTCAAAGAATTCGGTATAACTGCGTCCGCTAGCTCTAATGGCACGATACTGCTCAATAATCTCATAATAATGGTAGTAAGATACAAGTACGTTATCCTCAAGTGATCTACATTACTACAGCTTCCAAAATATTCCATCACCTCCCCCATTAAATTGAATAACGCCTTTAAGTCATCATTTATCTTTAAGGCCATACCATCGTTGCAGAGCCAGATATTCGGCATTACACAAATTGTCAACAGCTGCACTAATTCATGCGTTAGATCTGTGACATATTTGATGTTTCGTAGAGGAAAAAGGGTATTGATAGGAATGCTTAATTGAGTAAGAACGTGTTTCAAAGATTCTATACAATAAACCGGCAGAAGCATCTGCTGCAATTGTAAGACAGAATCGTCGACATTTTCGCTGATACTCTGACTTCTATCGCTAGTCCCCTAAAAAGAATATTACACAATAAAGAAATCTCAAGAATGATAAACTTGATAAGAAATCAAAGACAAAATCAACTCACTGCCGATTGATATGCTTGATAGTTCGCTTCCGGTACACCACTATCTGGACCATCTCCACCTTCCGAGGATGTGTAAACGTTGCTATCTAACTTGCCACCCAATAACTACGTAAAAAATAGTACAAAGAAATAAGGTAAAATCGCTAAATCATTATATTGTTAAGTATAACAGATATTATATAGTTTCTTGTATTAAACAAGCGTAGAAAAATAATTGGGAGTTACTTTTTGCTTCTTATTCGCCACACACGGTTCACAGTAGTAATAAATGCGGAACCTTAGAGAACGAGTTAGTTTACGCAATGTCTTTAACACAGTCGGAACTATACATGAGACATTAGTTTCTGACATGTTAGTGCTCGATTTAAGAAGACCATGAAGTATCTGTAACACATTTAAGATATATACTTTATTAATTTATCACTCAAAACAACATGTATATACGCATTTATTAAAGGAAATTTATTAAAAGAAAATGTTTACCGTAATTATTGCTGGTCGCTGAAGGAAAACTTCTGCTGGAAAATCTTGCATCATAACATTTGTTATAAACTGACACGTATGTAGTATATGATTTATATCGACAGCATTATTAAGAGCTTCTTCAACTGCGGTGAGTACTCCTCTATCCGATGTAACCAGTGGTTGCCATGGCATTACTAACCATTTAATACCACCTTCTATCGTTTTAGAAACTTGTGTACCGTTCTCACTTTCCAGTGTCATATCAAATGGTATAGTACTATAAACGCAATTCATATATACATATAAATATGATACTCAAGAAAAAAATATTTTTCCCAGAACCAACTTTTTTTTACAAATTCAACCGTTACTAATTTTCTAACGCATGCTCAATAATATATTACTCCATTTTGTTATAATACTTTTGTATTAATTCTTACTTGTCCAAGATAGACGGGAGATTGAAAATACTATTCAAATCGTTATAGTCTTCCCTTTCATAGTCCTTATTTGTATACCTAATACGATCTTGTGTTTGTATTCTGGATCTACCAAATTCTGAACATACTGTAGCAATATCCTGCAATGTGATTATAGTTACCTGTTTGTTCCTATAATATATATGTATACATAGTTATTACTATGTTTTAATATGTATGTTTGATTTATTTACCTGACTCCTTTCTGGATGCAGAACGGCTTGTTCGATTTCATCTAATTTCGCATACCATTCAGAGGGAAGCTTTCTCCTTAATTCGTAAAGTTCATTTTGGAACTTTAACTTGCCAAATGCATTCAAGTAACTCTTTACGTCTGCCTTGAAGCAAAGATCGTACATTAATTAAAATAAAATGAGTTATTTATGTTGCACGTTAAGTATTTTACAAAAATTTAAAGCGCTATCTAAAGTAGATTTTTCTGTATCAAAAACATTTTATTCTGAGCTTAAGGGTATTAATGAAAGAAGAATAGGATTTGTGCTAAATTTGAAATTTGTCAGTAATCATCAGCATAAGAGTCTGAGTACCTTTGACAGTCGCAATAACAAATTCAGTACTTTCTCTGGCTGCGGCGCAGTCTCGAACGAAAACCAATTGAACAGCCTTTGGATTATCTCTCTTTTGACAGCATCGCAGTCACACGCGAAACCTAAATCGTACTTGGAGATAATATTATCCAAAGCTCGCAGGCGTATCTCATCGATAGCGTGGCCTGAAAAACGAAATGTCAAAGTAATGGGAAAATACGCAAAAAGTGTGCGTACATATAAAGTTTTTCCGAATGACCATTTATCTCCTCTTATTCATTACCAAGTTTCTTAACGTGTACGGCGGTTATTCCGGCGGTGCCCAGCATTGTAAATAATAATCTGTCAGATTGTTGGAGGTTATCTGTCACACGGGCTTTGAAAATTTAACCGCCAAATTTTGCAGGCCATACGCCTGTTGCGTATCTGCCGTGGTCGATCGACACGCCGCCTATCGGTCCACGAAGGCACAAGAAAGGTGAGCTATTTGGCGCGAAGAAATGCAAATACAAGTGAAGGGAAAGTGAAATATGTTTAGTTCAAATAAAAAATTTGACAAAATAACTTCTCTTGTAATTTATTTCAAAATGTTAATACTGATTTTTTTTGTCCAAAATCTCTAAAGATATTGTATTTGTACGAGAAACGAGATTGATCGATAATCAATCTCGCTAATGTATAAAATTCGTATACTTTATACGGAAAATACGATCGACTGGTACAAAAAAACTTTAACATATTGTAGCCAATAAGAAATGTAGCATTAATTGAATTGACGAAAAATAAACGTGTTAAGTATGCACCTAAAATTGAAGCGCGCCTTGCTGAGACTTATTTATAATAAAAATCATTATTTATAAAAAAGGATTTAACATTTTTGATGTTTATTCCTTTTAAAAAATTAGGAACAAAATTATTTCGAGGTAATCACGTGAAGTCAAAGAAATTGCGGTCAATAACAGTGCTGCGCGAATTATATTAATTAAAAGTTTTATCCGAAACTATAGTAAATAAATTTGTAAATTGAAAGACATTGTAGTTAATTTTTTAAGAAATATTAGAAACGATCAGTTAAATAAAACTATTGTTCATAAATAATATAATTTTTAAATGTAACTATTTTGAACTATTGCAATAATTATATATTTTCTGTTTCATAAAAAATATATTTTCTCGAAATTGTAAAAATAATTGTTTTCGTCAGTTATGAAAGAATTTCTTATAAATACGTTTCTTAGTTCTGAAACGATCATTGTTTCATTTCAAACTGTTATTACACTTGTAAGGCTGATGTGCACAAACATGTCGCAGTTGTGTGTATTTATGTCAATGAAGAATATGTACCGTACTACATCCACAACTGACCAGCCACTAATATAGAATAAATCTTATAATAGTGATTATATACGTCCAATCCGCAAAATGCAAAAAATAAGGGTGCACCACAAATAGTTCAATTTCACAAAGAATAGATCCTTTAGACAAATGCTGCTCAGTAGATAAAATTAAACACATACAAAAAAATATTCTGTCGCTAAAGTATCCATTTACGAAATAAAGAGAAGCATCTGGAAGAATTGCGTTTTGTATGCAAAAAATTATAAAAATTCCAAACTAGTGATACATATCACAGTTATAAATGACTTTCACAAGACAAAGGCTTTAAAAAGAAATAATTTTAAAAAGAATTGAGTACCTATCCTGAGAAGCTTTAAAACTCGTATAAAAATATTCAAGTGACGAAAAACGAATGGGTTTGAATTTGTATAAAGTCGGAAAGTCAATCGGGATGTTCCCAATGATTTAAGCCAAAGGTCTAAACAAATAAGGTGTGTTTGAAAAAAGCACATTAAATCAAAACAAGGAAACAAAATTTTAAAGAACTTGCCAATTCAATTTAAAAATAATAAGTTTCACGAAAGAACGATTGCAGATATGGCTCACGGTCTGCAAACTGAGATTATCGCGAGAAATTATTTTTGCATGATACTGCATGGATTAAAAGTGCAAAATCAAATTTCAGTTTGTCAGAAATAAGTTTAGGTTTGGAAAATTTTTTTTGGGCGTGGGAGTGCAGAGGAAAGGGTGGAGGCCCTCCCTCGCAAACTTCTAAATTTTTTTTATACTATAATATATGTAAATATACAAGAATCATTTCAAAACTCTTATTTATTTCAAATTTTGTGCACTTTTACATCACTGCGCATGCTTTCTCTGATGCTCATGTATGTACCTGTACATACCCTGATGTCGATATAGAATATTTCTTAACCCGAAAATTGTCACTTTTAGTAGTTTATAACTTTTGTTTCTACTTGATAGCGACGATTTTAGCTTTTATATTCGAATTTAACACGCCAAAATACATAATATATTGTTAAATTTCAGCCAAATTGGTAAGACTGCCACCTTCCTTCATCATCATAATATCCCTCATCATTATCATCAAGATCGAATTGCTTTTGATATTTAAGGATGGACACGTGTGGATATTTTTCCTTCGCCTGAGCAACGAACGCCTGGCCATCACGCATGGCGATGGACCCGTCCCGCAGAACGTAGATTGTTTGTAGTTTAGGACACTGCTCAAGAATTGCGAAACTAGATATACCCCACAAGTATAATTGTCTTAAGTTTTTACACAGTGTCAGATCGTCATCGTGGACGTAGAAATTATTGGGATAGTACACAGAATTGAGATCCATCAAATTGACTTCTTCTAAGCGTTGACAGGAGGAAAACAATCTATGCAAGCTATGCTTATCGATTATGCAATATCCTGCCGGTGCGAATATGTTTCTGTAACAAAAGTCATATTATTATACGGTTTTTCAATCGCAATAAGAAAAACAACATAACCATTTCATAATGTTTGCAAGAAATGTAAATAAACATTTTGATAAAGAATATGTGTTTTAAAAGAAAATCTAGCACACACGTACATCTCCATCATTGTCAGTTTTCGTAAATTCTTGCATTCAGCGAGGGCATGAATACCTTGCGATGTAATAATATTGCCCGATAAATCTATTATTTCCAAGTCTGGACACGAATTTCTTAACTGTATTGTGATTGCGTCTAAATGTAATAATCTTCTATCATCGTGCGAAAAAGACAGCATGTTCAAATTTAAGTGACGCATCCGGCGAGTTTTTTGCAGTATTTTGCAAAGAGATTCAGCTCTTATACCGCACCATTCAAGGTCTAATTTCTCTAGAAATTCTAGATTTCCGAGACTCAAAACTTCTTGGTCCATTCCCTCCAGAGTACAATAACTGAGATCCAATACTAAAAAAAACAAAAAAAAAATGTATATATTAGTCACATACGGTTTATCTGTAATCTTAACAATCATATTTATTTATGTACCTTTCAAATTTTTGCATATCTCTGAAATTTTTAATATAGATAATTTGTCAACAAAATTGCAGCTATTTAATCGTAAGTGCGTTAAACCATCGCCGCAACTCTGAAGAAAGTTTACGAAATCCGGAGCAGAAATACAGCTCGCTGTAAGATCCAACTGTTGTAAATATTTACATTTGGATGCAAAATAAGACAGAATTTTATCATAACAAAAGGATGAATCCCTAGAGTACTCTTTTCTTAAATTTCGCAAGTTCAAACATTTAAAGAGAAAAGGATCCTGTGTTAAATTATTGAGACGTTTATTTACTTTGCTCATACGGCAAAACGACCTCATATCCAAGTATTTTAATATCATTAGTATTATTTCATCCTGCAAAAACAAAACAAAATTTTAATACATGAGATTATGTTGTAATAAATTATAACGAAAAATAAACTTCAAAAATATTTTACAGAAAACGCAGAAAAACTGTCAAGTTGCTCCTTGGAGTCTCCCGAAGAGAGTTTGATATCTTCTATAAATTTTACATAATTCCAATGATTTCTTAATAAAGGGTGATTCACATGTCCCTGCTTAGAAGATGGCACATCTTCCTCTCGAGATACTTGCTTGTGCGCGAGCTTACTCTTGTGAAAACTCGTTGCTACATCGCTGCAAATAACATTGAAACACATTTTCATTATTAAGTAAATAAAATAAGATTGAATATTACTTAATATCGACAATTATAATACCTTTTACAAATAACGCAATATTTAGGAAATTCCTTTTGAAGATCAAGTATATCCGAGTGTGCATTTTCATAATCACGTGTTGTATTATAAAAGTCCTCCAATAGATACATGTTCCAAGCATCTTTCTTTTGAAAGTCATTTTGTTTTTGTTCAGAACAACAAATACAATAACTCGAGCAAGAATGTCTTTGTACCCAAATGCGATGTAACAGTTCAGATAAACTCTCATCTTCAGGATTTTTAGGTAAAATCAATTTTGATGTACCGATCAGCAACACAGCATCTAGCTGTGTGCAAGAGTTGGATATAAATTGTAGTCTAAGCTTTTTGGTTTTAAACCTTTGGTTACGAGACCGTAAAAACGGGGAAAATATCCGTGATTCCGCATGTCTGCGTCTATAGGATGCAGAAATTCCGTAGAACTGAGGGTCTCCACCCCACAATGGAAGCCACCGACTCTCATCATCAGAATCTTGGGCCCAAACTTCAGTTACGTTCCCATAATTATATACTTCATATATAGAGACTCGGATTGGATATACAGCTTCATGAAATTCAAGATCTTCAAAATAGAAAATTTACGTATAACCTTTTCTTAACATAAACATTTTTCTTGCCAATATCTTGTTTATCAATTCAAATGTTACTTACCAATATCATGATAATAAGTATCTCTAAAACGCTGTGATGCAAAAGTATATGGCACTTGTTTCTGCCATGGAGATATTGAAATATCGAAATCATACTTCTTCTGTAATAAAAAGCAAAAACCCAATTATAATAAAGTGACGTCAAATGACGTCTTAATAACGTCTATGACGTCATCTTTGCTACTTGGGAAAAAGTACTGACTATTACCAAATGTTGTAGCATAAAATTAGATTGCGATTACTTTCTATAGAAATATAATAATTGTATAGAATAATAATAATTATAGAAACAATAATAATACAGATATAATATCAGGAGAGGATTATTACTATTCCAACCCAGAGCTGTGTTTCAAGTCTGACAATTTAGTCGGCGCGCAGTTTACCATGTAAAGTTGGAAAATATATAAAAATTTAAAACTTTAAAATAACTTTTGCGCATCATCAATCGCGTCTCAATTAGTCCGCTTCTTTTATATTCGTGAATAACAGATAATATCAGAAAATGCACATACGTACCATAAGAAAATTTTCATGGTTTGGAAAATTGCGAGGTGTTCCTATTATATTATTACGAATATTACTTATGCTAGTAGTATTCGTACAGTTTTTTGCGGATATATTGCTGTCCTTCACAAATTGATATATGAAATCAACATAATCCTCTCCTACCACTACTCTGTCAGTATAAGGATATTGGACATCACTATCGCAATGTGAAGAATGATAATTGGATGTCATGTTCTCTCTCTGAAAAAAGATAAAAAATATAAAGTAATAATATAATAAAATATAATAAAATGTAATTATCTTTGCGCTTTGTTAGCATGTCAAAATGCTATATCATAATATCATATATTTATTATAATTATACTACAAAGTATACTTATACTTACTTGTAAGAGAGTTTATTTTCTTGTTTCCACGTGTTGAAGCGGTGAAGGAAGCGTACCGTTTGACCACGTACGGCACGTACCACGTTGCGACAACATTTTTCCACTGGACCTGCTGGACCAGCCAATCAGATATATTTTTATTTTAAATCAGCCAATTGGTGACGTGGTCGATTGTCGTGGCCACTCAAGACGAACAGTGGTCACTCGCGGCACTATTTGCAGCTCGTTGTCGGTAAACAACGGTCTGTATTACCGATGATAGATACTCGGCATTTTGTGCAGCGACGATCTTTTTTTTCAAGACACGGAAGGGCTCAGACACAATTAGAAAAATAAAAAATAAGACAAAGGAATAAGGAATAAGGGAATGTCGCATCTCACTTCAGTACACGTACATTAAAGTGAGATGCAACATGTCTTATTTCTTTATCTTATTCCTTATTTTTCTCATTGTGTCTGAGGCCGGTATTTATTCTTCAAGATCGTCTTAAGTAATGTCTTAAGACGCTAATACGGCTCTGTGATTGGTTCATGACATCTTAAGATTGAACTTAAGACGGTTTTATGCTAGGTCTACAATGCGAGTCGTAAAGTCATGAGTCGTAAGAATTGACCAATCACAGTCGATTATTCTCCTCAAATTCGATTGTGATTGGTCAATTCTTATGACTCACGAAGCGGCGAAGGAAACCAAAGGGAACGTCCCGTATGACCGCGTTGCGATTGACAACATTTTTCCACTGAACCAGCCAATCAGATATTTTTATTTGTAATCAGCCAATTGATGACGTGGTGAATCATAGTGAATTGACGTGGCCACTCAAGAGGCGATACAAAAAATAATACAGGCAGTGACGAACAGTGGTCACTCGCGGCATTATGCGGCATTATTTGCAGCACGCTGTAGGTAAACACAGCGGCTCGTATTACCGATAGAGACCTTAACCATAGAGTCAACTGAATTGTGTGCAGCGACGATTTAATATATTTATTATAATTATATTGCAAAGATTCATATCTATATAAGTTTATTACCTTGCTTCCACGTGGACTAAACGTGTTGAACTGTTGAAGTAATGGAGGATTCACATTGCGTCCGATGTTCGACGATCCGACATCCAATAACAGAATTTATTATTAGAGACAAAAATTTCCTATTGGATGTCGGATCGTCGTACGTCGAACATCGGACGCAGTGTAAATCCTCCATAAGTGACGATACGAGATACGATAAATGAGACAGGCAGTGACAAACAGTGGTTGTTCGCGTCAGTATTTGCAGCGCGCTGTCGGTAAACACAGTAACCTGTGTTACCGACAGAAACTAGACATTGCACGAAGAAGTTGCAAAGGACGTTGTTAGATGGCGCCACATGTACCGTTTGCTGCTCAACCAGCTCAGTAAGAGCATTCGCGTGATGATCTGTGACCACTTTTCGACTTCAACGAGCGCATGTTCCGCGCGCGGCTTCTATTCGCGAACGACGCGAACTTGTTTAATCGAATTTTGTGCAGCGACGATTACGTATCATTATTCGTGAGAGTACGGAAGTTTGCTTTAATCGGTAAATAGAAATTCCAAATAAATATTTAATGATAGCAGCGAGAAAAGATATCATTCTGAGAAGGAGACGAAGACGATTCATCATTTTAGGATAACTTCAATCGAACTCCTGATTAATTTAATCATTGATAAACTTGTCAAGCAATGCCTGCGCACTATTCTGTTAATATACATGGGATTTTTTGTCGTTTAACATATAAGAAAGCAATAGGAATAATGATGCTGTCGACAAAATTCTGCCAATTGAATTAATTATCGTTTAATTTATCTAATAATACTTGTCATTCTACGAAAGTAAATAAAATTTATTAACATATGGACAGAAAAGATTTGGAATAATACAATTAAAAGTTTATTTTAATTTTGCCAGTTAATTTATTAAATAAAACTGTACTATTTTATTAACGTGGAACTGTTAACTTTTTGTTGTTCAATATATAGAAAATAGACCAGAAATAACAAATTATATGGTTAGAAATTTTACTTTAAGCAATTATTCTGTCGGTTGAATTAATCGCCGATTAAGATCAAGTAATATATATACACTATTTTATTAATCTTGATAGGATTATTAATATTTTTTGCCGCTTAAAAAAAATTACGAATGACAATTACACAAGTCATATAGTTAGAAATTTTGTTTTAAACAATTCTGTCGATAGAATTGATCGTCAATTACTTTGTCACGTAATCTCTGTACTATTCTGTTATTTCTGTTAACATAGATAAAATTATTGATTTTTTGTTATTTGAAATATGGAAAACAGGGATTAGATTAGGAATATGAAAGAAAAAGAAAGAGACGATGAATTGTACAGTTATTAGAAATTTTGCTTTAAGCAATTCGGTCGGTTGAATTAATCGCCGATTAAGTTAATCGGAGTTCGTCGAAGTTGCCCTTAGGCGTACAGACACAGCAATTGACGACACAACAAGGATCTTTCAAAGGTCCGTTTAATCACCTTACGAAATTACAAGGATAATTCGAAGCACATGCTTTCCGCTAACGAGGTACGTGTAGGTATTACGATCGGTTTAAATTTTTACGACACTGAATTACATAATTATGTATACATTATTTAACTGCATATAAACATACAAAAGGTTTAAAATTAATCATCGAGTCGTTGATGAAACATTCGCAATTACCGTCTCCAGCACCACGATCCGACTCTTCCGCGTCATTCGGGCTCGATAATCCTTCGTTATACCGGGTGAAGCTCGAAGCTTTATCGTGGTTAAAAAAAAAAAAGAAAGAACAATTCGTCATCCCGTAAGACTTAAACACCTATTCTCGTAGCACTTCCGAACCTGTCTTACCGTAAACGATGTGTGGCGTTGAAAATAACTTTTAAATTTATTTTTTATTAAAAAATACACTCAGAAGCAATCTCGTCCGAAATTGCTTCGAATTCACCTCGTCTCTTTGTAGGAACAATAGAACGAGCGAGATCGGTACGGATCGGTGAGAAACGAAAGCGGAGACTGTGCTTCGTTAATCACACAGAAAACGAACGACAATAGAGACGCGTTTGTATCGCTTACGGGATGACCGATACGTGCGAGCGTACGGATAAAGCATATACGCGCGACGTAACCCGCAAGGATGCTCTCCTCCACGCTAATAATAATAACTCATTCAACGAAACGTGGCGCGCATTACATCCGCAATTCGGCCCTCCGCCGCGTGCTCGGCCGCTCGTTTCGCGAGCGTTGCCGTAAAAACGTGATTTACGACCTCGCTCTATGCCGGCGCGGAGGGCGCCGGAAATGAGCCATCAATGAGACGATCGCGCGCCGGAGCACGCCGCTCTCACACGCTTCTCACGCAATTACATTGTTATATAATATATGTAACTGCGAATCGCATATGTTAGCGGGCGTTTATGCTATATCTTTTTATTGCGTGAAATTGTTACACGCGGAGAGCGCGACTCTCGTATTGCTACATGTAGATCGAAATAAACGCGTGATCGTCTCCTCGATTAGCGCCGCATCCTTCTGTTTCCTATTTTTTTTTTAGTGATACAAGAATCCGCATCATTTTATCAGAAATCGATCACATCTTTTTCTGCCGCGACGTACTATACATATCTCGATGTTTGTTCTCTCACTCTCGATTCGACGGAGCTCTCTCTCTCTCTCTCTCTCTCTCTCCCGCATTTTCCTCTTTCAAATAATCCTCAGCGTATAACGAGGGTTTTTCGCACAGAAATCCCTTCTGCGATACGCCGAAGATTCAACCCTCGACTGAAGCTTGCCATTCGCGACAGCTCGACCGCGCTCGTAATTCGGATTGAATTTCTTTTCAACAGGGTGAGAATTATTGCTCTTCGTTACACGATATGACATTGGTCGCGCGACATACGTAAATCGTAAATTATTTCGTCGAGTTCCGCTCGCCCGTCGCTTTTAGATGTTGCGTTCAGCACTCGGGACGAGTCAAGCTTGGTCATTTTCCCACAATTTGCAGCATTATTGAAAAACTATCCCGTTTCGTTTTTAAGCAATATTTCCAATACAATAGGGAAAGAAAATCAGTTATAAATACAAGAGCTAAAATTAATTTTGACATAAATTTGATATTATCGCATATTTTTTAGTTCTTTTATCGCCTTCTATAAATTGATGCTTATAATTAACGAATCTTCGATGAAACACAATTAATAAAGAAAATTTGTAAACAGAAATATATGTAACGTATATATAATATAATATAATATAATATGTAACATTTAAATATAATATAATACAAAAAATATATCGAATATATATTATGTAACGCATTTAATATACATATAATATATTAAAGAAAAAATTCTTTTTTAATAATCATGTTCGTCGCTGGACGTTATTACACGCTAGAAGTAACAGGCTATAGCTATTAACTCATATTGGTCGAGGAAATGCCATGAATTTCGTTTCAGCGTTTTAATAACGTCTGTCCGCGATTTACAATAATGCGCATAGAAACGCGATAGAAACCTGTGTGTATACATGGTTAAGCTACGAGCTCTTTGATCCCTTTAACCCCTTCCTAACACGACAACGTGTTAATATATATATATATATATTGTGATTCTCGGTACAGTAAAACACTTTTATCGAGATCTCGGATATAAAATGGGATGCAAAGATATAAATTATTTAAATCACAACAATTTGTCTATCTAAAACTACGTTATCCTATAAAGTCTCATAACGATATTGTATAAATATCCTACAATATAAAATTTACTATCAAATACGTAACGCACACAAATTTGTATCACATAATTTCCGTCGGTGAGAAATTCTGCGATCTAATTATATATTTAATAGTTCTATACACCTTTAAAGTTTATTTTACGTGAATACTTTTATTTACTCGCGATAAATTTACATTCAGTTATTTGAGCTACCGATTTAAAAGACATTTTTATATACCGAGAGTCTCGTAAAAGTATCGCGGTTTTTAAGAAGCTATTAGTTGATACAGCGCCTCTTTTAATCATGCATCGGAGATGCAAAATTGCCAGATAATCCCGATATCGAGCAAGAAGGGGTTAATACGATGGCTGCGTCGCAGAATCTCGGCCCCGAGTGTATTCGAGAGATAATCCAATTATTACAGTTTTTGCGATAATATTACTAATTTAATTATAATACGATATCTTTATTTCGATATAGTTTCACCGAGATTAATTACCCGCCTCAATAGAGAGATTTCCAATAAATTCGTTTAAATATATTTATCCGATATAAAAATCCCGGTGGTTTGCCAGAGGCTGACAGTAGCGGCTCTGCCGCTTTCTCATTTATAAATTTTCCCCGCATCTTTTCCCTCACGATTAATTCCCTCGTCGGATTTTATACCGATTCCGTATATCGTTCGTTGTTCCGTTGCACCGCATCGCATCCGCTGAACCGCTACGGCAACGAATGAAAGACACTCGATATAACGGGGCGAGACGTCGCGACGTCACCCGATACGAGAGAAGCGGAGTTGGTGGATCTCACAATCTCACGGATAACGACGGCCGGAAAATCGACTTTTAGCTCGTATATGCAGTTAAACAATCGGACCAAGTACAACATATTAGGGAATTAATTAATTAGTTACGCCGGGCGTCTAACGGGGCGCCCGTTTAAAAGGTACGAGAGAGTGAGAAGCGACACGAGAAATTCGTTATCCTTAAAGTTCCTATCGAAGTACGAGGAAAGAGGAAAGAGGAAATGGCAAGGGTAACCACAAACGGGAAACACATACACGGTATATGCTATTACAAACAAAATAATAAATATCGTTAAACGTTAATTACAAATCGGCCCAGGAGCGGCAACGATTCCGAGAGATTCGGTGCCGCCTCGGGTTTTAACAATTTATCGTAGACATCGATAACGATAATTTTTTTTGTTTATTAAAAGTGTTACGTGTGCGCGTGTGAGTGTGTGCGTGAACGTGAGTGCGCGCGCATGTGTGTGTTTGTATATGTATCTCTGAATACGAGTATTTCGTGTCACTTTCGATCTAGAGCAAAGTCGACGAGAGGAAGAGTTGCTTTCTGACATTTAATTGAAGGACTTTTTTTTTCTTTCGGCGTTGAAATTAAATCGCGCGTAATAAATGTATTGTTTGTCGATAGATTTCAATGTATAACAACAAGTCGTTATAAAAATTTAATTGTGGAAGCGCAGTTGTGTGCTTAATTGATGCCCGGCTTTGTATGATATAACGTTAAGGTTTTAATTTAATTTTTTTTTATTTCTAAACGGTAAATCACCCGGTAAACTTCGCGCAACGCAAAATAACGTTTACAGGTTGTGTCAATTTTTCAAATAGAGTTCAGTGACGCACTTAGGCAATTGTTCGTTAAAAAAAAATACCGTTATATAGTGATGAAAAAAAAAACAAACGGATAAAGCCTCTAACAGAAACTGATTACCAACGCTAAACGGTACGTAATAGACATACGTGGCTAACGATGCTAACGATCATTATATCTCATTTAAAATACTGTCTGGTTTCGATATCGATGGAGAATAGCTTTTGTCCGTATTTCCGTTCGTATGTCGGAACATTAGCGACGAATAATCGTCAAGTTACGTTCCCTCTGTCGTTTCTCTCTACTGTCTTATTAAAACTTACGCGCTAGCTTGTGTATATATGTACGTGTGTACACATATGTATATAGATATTGTATATACATATATCAATTCTTTATATGTATATTATATATATAAGATACGGGTAAATGTATAATAAATTAATTATTAATCGTTATTAAACCTATGTACGATGCGCCATTAACAACTAGTGATATGTACTCGTTTTGAACTATAGCGTTAGTTTGATGCGACCCTAAGGTGGTTGCGCGTCGCCCTTCGCGAATCGAGAAGCAGTCGGGAAGTTTCTCGGCATAATGATTTCTCGGGATGAACAGTGAAATTCGACTTTACACGGCCGGTCCCGCCGGCCGTTCCCCGCGGAATGCAAATTCCGCGTGGCGCGCAGCGTCGCGCCGCGTTTCCGCACGTTTTATCGAATCAACCCTCGGCCGATTAGGCGTGTGCCGGCGATTTTTGCCGGGTCGCCGCGCAAAAGCCTTTTATATTCCACCGGAGGCCGGCTCTCCCGGGGAAAACGCGGCCGCGCCAAACGGACATGGCCGCGAGATGTGGCTTTTCTCCCCCGTCTTCTCTCCTACGCCGGGGTCTCTTCTCCTCCGTTTTTTTTTCGCGGAACGACCTTACTTTTTTGCCGTATGCGCGCCACGGCTCGGGGTCGATCGATATTTCCGCGTGTATTAATTCACGCTTTCCCGAAGGGAAACTACCGCTTTACGGAACAACCCTCTCACGGTTTTTTTTCCCTCCATTCCACGCGTTTCCGAAGAAAAAACTACCGAAAATTTTCAACAGGAAGCTTTTTACGTTTGGACCGATATATGGAGGGGTAAAAGCCATAGTGGTGTAAGTCGAATTTTTCAAAATATTGACTCGTGTGCATAGATGCAATTTATATATTGTATAGATTGCATCTATGCACACGAGTCAATATTTTGAAAAATTTAACTTACACTTTATGGCTTTTACCCCTCCATATATATATATATATATATATGTATATATATATATATAAAAAGATATATATACAAGCTTTTTACGTTTGAACCCGATGTACTTATAAAAACACTACGAATGAAAGAGAATACGAAAACACGTTCTGTAAATGTGCACGGAATGTCCAGCTTGATTACATGCTCGCCATAAAAAGATCGACGAAATGTTTTCTAAAAGTTTCATCTCCGCCATCTATATAGTCTCGCAAACATTCGGATACTTACATTTTCAGAAAAATCTTGCGATATAAGATATTTTGTTATCCCTCAACCCCCGTAACTTGTGCGATTGCTTCTCGATCGTTCTCGGTTCCGCACGGACACCTCGCTTTTGTGACACTCTTCTTTTTTTTTTTTCGCTTAATCCGGCTCACGTGTCGAGAAACGACATCGTGTACGCCGTACAGGCAATTGTTGATATGTATCGTTTTTTTTCTCTTTTAGCGTGGCTTATTGCTTAACGTATAGCTACGGTTTTGTAAATCTATCTTACGTCTATCCTTACGCCTTACCAGCGGCGCGCAAACTCGCTTTTTGTCATCCGGACAAAGAATACGGAAATCTCACACAAATCGCACACAAGTGACATGGTAAAATACTTAAATAAACGAGCGATCGAATGAGACCAACTAAATCCTTAACACTCTTTCTTTGGTTAACTATCTTTCCTTCCAAAAAAAGGATACTGGCCCCACTTGTCGCATTATTCACCAGTTTGATATAAACCGATAATGGATCGTCTCTCGCTGTTTCAATTTTTACCGTTTATAAAAATAGATTGCAGTGGTAGTAACGACATATTGCACTTAATATTGCGGGAACAAAAGTTACGATATGCTAATTTGACATCACAGGGAGAGTGGTAATATAATAATAATTATAAAGTAGACATGACTTTTCTGATATCTTAACATAATAATAAGTTATTATACTTACATATATTATTACAACATAATAATTATACGTTTCTCTTGGCAAATAAAGATGTGCAGCGTGCTTTAGAACATCGTATATCTTAACTTAATTCGATTTATACGTCTCAAAAAAATAACAAACCGGTCTAAATCGAGCTGAATGCGCATTAGTTTGTGCACCTCTGATACAGCATTCTTCGCGCGAGCGATATCAAAAGTTCTTACGAGACGAACAACTTGAAAGATAACAACAACGGCGTTCGAGTCATCGAAGAAGCTGTCATCTCGATAAGATATCTGATATTTTGTCGACAGAGCGCCGATTGCGCCCGCCACGTTCTCCCGTGGTACAAAACGGAATCTTATAGGCGAACAAAGAGCGCGCACGTATATACACTGTTCTTCCGCCATTTGTTCCTGATCGGAGAAATTTCCTCGGAGGATTACTCGCGAGATATCTGCATAGATACTGTTGCAGTCTACGCGGGGAAAAATGGTGGTGTGGTTAAAAGTCGAGGTATTAATAAAGCTCGAATTACAAGCAGCTGAGAATTGAAGATATTAGTCATAATCTAATGTCTGAATCATCGCCGATAAAGTTTGACTTCGAACTTAAATTATGAAAGCGGAGTATATTTAGCTACGGGCACAGGTTCAAATTGGAAATGTAAATTTTAGTTCGAGTTTACTACGCGGTAAATTTAGCGAGCCAAATATAGGGAAAGTCGGTTGTGAATGACTGTGGGGAAATAAATCGGCACGTGTACCGGAAGAGACAAAAATTTGTAAAATAAAAATTCAAGTGGAAACCCGGGATGCGAGAATCGAGCGACTCTTGCCGGCAGTGACGGAGCCGGTAGCTTCGCGTCGACTTCGTCTTTTAAATAAATCAGTGCTCTCCCGCGGGGGTGCACGATACAGACGATGAAGGTGAAGGGAAAAGGAGGATGGGCCGGTTGGCAAGGGGCAGGACGGGGGACACTCTCTCGTTGAGATATCCCCCGTCCGTGGTAGAAAGTGTACTCCACTGCCGCCGTTGACTCGCGAAAGCCGATAAGAAGGAACGGAAAGCAAGCGCAAGTTGCAACTCGCGCGTGTACACATTGTATCCTAGATCCACTACATGTCCCTCCATTCATAGATTCCTCGCTTTCCGGGGCGAATTTCTTTCTCGTTGGAAGGTTGCTGCTTGTTGATGTCTTTTGTACTTTTCACCTCCGACTTAGTCACCCTTGTATAAGTTTTTCATTTTTCGAATTGAGTGTCTCTCAGCGATTGAGTCATAAATTGAATTTTTGTACCATTACAAAGTGATGCGATCGAGTATTATTGGAAGGACTTGCACCGCATTGAATTATGTGCAATTTTTCTCGCAAAATTGCACTCGACGAGTATGAATTCACGCACAAGTTCGTGGCGAGCGCGACGCGAAGGAATGATTCGCGATTCCGATGATCCGTGGATCTCCCCGACGCGACGGTCCAAGGATCCGGTGATCCGAAAATTCAATGATCCAAGGATTTGTCGAAGTATAGATTCGAGTGATCCAAGGATCGTTGAGCGACCTTCTTATTCTACCCTTATCAAGTATGATATGTATTTTCTTTTTAACGACTAACGGCTAACGTTCCGAGCGCGAGAGTGCGTGCCACCCCAAAAAGAGATAATTGCATACACCCTCCTTGTTGACTCGTTAATGTCTTGGTTTCTTTCATCCTCCCGTGGTCTAACCTCCCCTTCGTGCTTCGGGAGATTCGAAGGCCTATCCCTGCGCGTCAATCTCTTCGAGAATGTTGTTATAAAAACGTACACACCGTTTCTAATTTAATTTTCATGATTATATTTATATATAATCTGACACCTATCATTCGATATCCTCTTTGATATTTTTATTTCTGGAGACGCAAAATTTTTTTAGGAGATACACGTGTATTTTGGTACTGGACGTTTATTATTTGTTGGAGATAAGTTTCGAGTTCTTACAAGTGGACGGGTCGGACGAAAATACATCTTTTTCTCTTGCAAAAACGAACTTCTTAATTATGCTTATAGATGGCAATTTTCCGGATTTAGCTGGTCCAATACCGTTTATAGTAGTAAAAGGCAATGATTTAACGGTAAGGAAGAAAATAGAGCAAACTGATCGTTGCGATCAATAAACGGGAACGAGTCGAAGACAAACGAAGATCAAGTTGCTCTCATCGATTATTTAGCAAAGGGCACATAGCTCGGTTCTTCTCGATATTCAAACGCACGTTCTCGAGTTGTGTATAAAGATCATCCAAAAACATTAATTTACTTCGTATCTTTTTAAAATGCGAATAAGAATTTATGTGTTCTAAAAACGCTCAACACTAAAATTTGAATTTTCAAACGTTCGAGTAATCGTCCTGCCGGAGTATTTCCGGTAAACGCAGTCGCGCGAAATGCGCAAACGAATGACCTTTGTGTCCGCTTTTCGGCCCGGCAATAGCGGGTCGAAAAATTTTTAAAGGTTCCGGAATCTAAAGCGTGAAAAAGTTTGCACGGGCAATTAATTAGATTTTTGCGTAGTAACAGCGATATTTTCACGCTTTTTCGCGTTTTTTCCATAGCTTCGTGCCGCGCGTCACCATTTTTACTTCCGCCGTGCTACACGAAAAAAAAATATGTATTGTTATTACGGACAATATTTATTCAAATAATATCACGTTATCACAGAGTAATAAATATTTTAAAAAACGTAATGTGTAATATAGGAACCAGTATTCAAAATCTTTTTAGTACGTTAATGCTTCTGTTTAGTCATTTAAACCGAGATTAAGAAAAAAAAAAAAACGTTGAAATGGCTAAAATAGCTTCTATCCTATATTGATCCGAAATCTATCGCGTGATTTAGCAAAACGATCGCGAATATTGCGATTCAATTTCGTCATTGGTTCGACACGTGGATACCGGGAGCATTTCGCGTGCATTATTAAGCCGCCATTCCACGAAACTTCTCGAGGGTTGATTACCGCGTTATTATTATCCCCCGAGACCCGAAGTAACTCGCCGTTCACGTCGGGTATCGCATAGTAATACGCGATTAAGGGAGAATCGATTCTGAATTTTATCATGCCGGTAGTATAACGCGCTCGGAGATACCCCGTATAGTCGATGCGCCGTAAAATTTCTTCCCTCGGGGGGTGACATTTTTTCTCCTCTCCCCCCCTTCCCCGTTCTTGTCTATCCTTACGTGATTTTCCTGATACGTTGTACAGTTTCCTATTTCCTTTCCCGGACTTTACCGGAGTGCCGCAGGTCGGTGACCTCCGCATTGAATATTCGGATTCACGGATAGTTAGATCAGAATCCACGCCCTCATAATTCCGTATAATTCCTTTACTCGCGGCGACTTCTCGAGATCGTTACGCGAACCCTTCCTTCCTGCGATACCTTCGTAGTCCGGCGCTTCTTCTTCCTCGACTTAAGTCGAGGCGAGCGCGGATGCATTTTGCATAAAATGCATATTCATCACACGCGAAAAGAAGCGCCTCTCGCGACCGTGTCAGGCTATTTCATTGTCCGGGTATCGGTATTAATGGAGAAGAAGGAACCGGAAAATATTTAAAAAGGTAGAAAGAGATATATATATATATATAGTGTGCGGAAAATACTCGGAAAGTTTCGGAGGATTTTTCTTGGACAAGAATTTTTCGCGAATAAATCGTCCGTCATCTTCAAGGCTAAATATCTCGGACACGGGATCGTTATTACACGAAAAGCGAGGAAATAGTTTGGGAAATGGTACGGGATACCTGCTACGGGGTCTTTATAAATTTCAGTGCTTTCGCGTGCCGCGCGCTCGCTGGAAAATACATATTCATCTCGGCTCCGCTCCGTAGAGGGTGCATCCGTAATGGAGACGAAAGGGACAAGAGGGATCCGCGGGATCTGCGTACATTTCGCTGGACGTCCACGTGAATGGCGAGCAATATCGATCAGTCAAAGCAAAGGGGTTATCCGGGCGCGGGCAGCTGTTTCCGAAAGACCCCAATTCAATTTCTACTTCCATGGCAGCGCGATGTGTGTTACATTTTATAGGTCGTCGGACACCTCCGGTGTATACGTAACAAGGTACATTACACGTTCGACATCTGTATCTCGCCAGGTGGCCGTTCCATGTCGTTTCATATTTCATCCGGAAGATGCGAAGGAACGAAATGACATATTTACAGAGGCTCCCGCGCTAACTTCGGCGTTGAAAATATTTGTTTTCGCGCGACACCCCGGCAAATGGCACAGGGCCGCCGTGTGAAATCCCCGTAGATTGACCGGACATCGACGAATGGAGAAAAAAAAAGAGATGAAAAAGAGAGCACCTCGCCCCCTCCCGAGAGGAAGGAGGGAAGGGGGGTTGTTAACGCCACTAAAGTCGGGGTGAATGCCCGAGACCGGGGCCGCGGAGCAGGCCGAGGGAGAATATCGTGATCGCGCGCGATGCGCGCCGGGGAATGAAACTTCTATTCGTTCCCTTGCAGTAACGAGAGAGACGGAAAGGAACAATATTTATCTTGCTCCGCTCCGGAGACGATATTTTTTCGCGCCGTAATTTTAACGACGGCCAACGGATAGATGATTCGGCGGGAGATTTATTAAAGTCGCGGTAATTTAATATTCGTTCACAAAGAGCTTTCGCTCTTGGCGATTCCATCGTCGTTGCCCGGACATTATTATAATCGAAAACGTAACTATATATCTGGCCGGCGCGCCAATTCTCATTCGAGAAATCTCTTTCTGCTCGCTCTTCGAAAATGAAAAAGTAGAAAGGAGACGATCGATCGGGCGATTAAATACCGCTGCGATCTCAAAAAAACGCTATCGCTCGTTAGAGAATGCGAAATTAAATGAAAAATATTCCCTCGACTGTTTAAACGAGCGTAACCGAGCGTGCGAGATGGTTAACGTGACCGCGGCTAACGCTTCTTAGCTTATCGAGCCGTGCCGCGACTTCCCTAAAGAAGGTCTGCAAGTTCCTTAATTAGGCGCGGAGGTCGGAAGTCGTAACGCGATCCCTTTCGCTCGTCACGAGGAGGAATATCGAGCGATATGTGCGTTTTAAAGCCGTGGAAAAGCGATTGCGTGTCACGCGTGCAGCACCGAACAAAACTCGCTACGGTTATTAGTCAAGGAAATTAAATATTCGTCCGCAAGATTATGCGGGGGGAGTCGCAAAAAGACCGATGGCGTGACGTTTTCGAATTCGTCCTCGGTCACGCCGCGGTATTAATCTGCTAATTGAAAATTTACTTGCGATAACAATTGCTCGCTCGTTCCGACTCTATCGATCCGACATTGTTCGAGAAAGCGTATAGAGGGAGAGAGAGATAATCTATCGGCGGGGAAACTCTCTCGCTCGTGTATTAATCGCGAAAGATTCGCATCCCGAGTGCTCTATAAACCCGTACCTAACCGGTGAGGTAATCCAACGAGAATCAAAGGTTGTTTGCGGAAATTACAACTTACACCGAATGCAACCGAGTCCCCGCAGAGAGAGCAGAGATTTGATCAAAGCGCGGCGTGTATGGCGAAAAGGAGGATCGACGACGACGAGACGCACGGGCTCTCTTTGAGGCCCGAATTGCTCGAGACTCGAAATTGCCGTTGACGAGACCTCGTCGGATTGGGCTTTCGACGAAACCGATGATCGAGCCGCGCAACAACGTTATACCCATTTGTGACGGGCGGGCAAATTGCAGCGACGAGGTAATTAACGAAGTCGGTGTGCGTAAAGCGGAGCTTCGCTTCTAAATAATCACAACTGTGAAAACAGATTAATAGAAATAAGCTCGGGGAGCTTATTCCGCTCCAGTACCAAGAATAAACGTTCTCTCTCTCCTCTCGTTGGAAATGATTTAACCGGCGTGAATCGCCTCCTTTTTGCTTCAAGCTTCCAAGTCGATGACACCGAACGTGTTCTAAATGTTCTAATTGCGAAGATATCGGATAATAGGTGTAGTAGTGCCTGTTCGTTGGAAAATAATCGCGGCGCAAAGAAAATTGACGCACTTGGCCTCGGAACGTCGATTACTCCGATTCCCCGAGATCTCCGGCCGCTGAAACGGAGCCCAGGCGATCGGTATTTATCGCACGAATTAACGCACGGTGCATTTTGCCGCGCATGCACGACTCACTTGCGCCGCAAAGCGGATTATTTATGGCAGCGCGCCGTATCCTTCCGAGAGAAGAGCCTGCTCGCTAAGCGGCAAGCTCTCGCTTACTACGACTCGCTTCTTTCATCTCCCTTGTTTTCCCCGCGTTCCCAATAACATATATATACTTTGTAATCGTCTCCAATCGTCGGTGATCCTCATCAGCCATGATCCACATTAAAAAAGAGGATTTTGAGAAAAATATAAAAATTTCCGTAAAATTGTTCAGGTATTTAATAATGATTCTCTCTCGTTATTACAAAGTTTAATGTGCCTTTCAAAATCCGCAAGCATATTGTATTAAAGCGTACTAGTTACGTCTCGCGACGTCCATCATCCTCGTCGACGACGAGTCAAATTATTAATTATCCCGGGTAATAATTAAAAGCTCTTTCAACGACAAAGGGAGGGCTTTTCGTACTGTTGTAATAAATTCATGATGGAGTTCCCGTTGTCGCATTGCTTTCGCTACACATGTGTAATACTCGGTCTCATTCGATAGAAATTTACTACGTATAAAGAACGTTACATGTTCAAGCTCCATCGGGAGATTTGGAGAATAATCGATTATAAAGATTTCTACGATAAAGCCTCGGCGAACCGTTCCGTCTATGCTGCCGCTGACGAGTTTATTCGCGGTTGGTCGGATTCCACCCTACTTCTCTCTTCGTGTTCCCAGAGGAACGCTTGCGCCAATATCCAGTGTCAGAGAACGATGGAGAAGAACGTTCGCGTTTTTCTGCCGGGAGAAAAAGAGAGAGAGAAAGAGAAGAGATAAACTTAGAGGAGACGGGAAAGAAAATATTGCGTTCGACTTTCTCTCTCGGTTTCTCTAAAAAAAAAGTAGACTGGCATAATAATTACACTCCTCTTTCTATACTTAGGGTAGTGAATCGTGCATGCGCGAGGCGCGATAAATAAAACTTACGATCTTCATGATCGCGCGAGAATCCTTCGCGTTACGTAATATCCTTAACGACATAAGCGATATAACAACTTCCAATGTGGATTATAAAAATATTCAATCTTTGTCATACGAACTAGTTAACCTATTGATATGTAAACTATCGATATGTAAAATTGATATGTAAAGTCACGGACCAATGTGATCCGCATGCCGCGCGAATCCACGAGGCGATCGCGTCCGTCTCGCAGATCCGCGTCTCTATTTTATTTTGGCCGGCGTTATTGTAACTTTTGTGTCAGTGTCTGTCTGTCTCTGTGTGTGCGCGTATGTGTATATGTGTATTCCTCTGTGTGCGCCTGTTTTGTATATACGCTTACATGTTTGATAATGCAATAACAAGATGCTCGGTCTCGCATGCATCCCGCTAATAACGGCGCCGGTATACTTTCATCGTGAAACATCAGCGCATTAAACCTCTTTAACGAGAATAAAGGAATCGATAATCAATAATGAATTACTTATCCTTGTCGGTGTCCCCGAAGAATATCGCTGATCGAAACGATGTAATGCCGAAGAGTCTTGGTCGACGACGTCAGTTCTTCGACCCGCGGTTAATTTCCATCGATGATCGGCAGCGATATTACCTTCTTCGGCGAGAGGACGATAGGGGATAGAGGATGATAATGTATTTGATTTTTGAACGATCATGCCCGCCGCTGGATGCACACGCGACTCGCGTCGCGTAACGAACGAGTCGGGACTTTCCACGATGGTTATTCTTCCGGCCAGCCGAGATCCTCACCGACGAGCTCGTAGAAGCGTTGATTGTGCTCGTTGAAGAACTTCCTCAGCTTTGTCACGACCATCGGACTGACGCGCGGATGACGTCTCCCCTTGCTCTCCTTCAGACACTTCTCCGAAGTCTCGTTCCTCAGGCAATAGAAGCCCTTGGTGTGGTTAAAGTAGAAGTTGTGCCGACCGATGCGCGGCTCTAGCCCGAGGAAATTCTCGATTCGGCGCAGCTGAGGTACCGGATCCTCGATCAATTGATCGCCATTCACTATGAGAATCTGCTCCCTGGGGAACACTTCCAGCCAACGATGCATATAGGTGTGATAGAGGGAGATGGCGACCGGTCTGTAGGACTCGTTGATGGTACCGTCGGGTCGCATAACAAGCTCCTCGAATGTACGCGCCACTTGCTGCTGCTGTTGCTGCTGTTGTTGCGGCGTGCCGTTGGTCAATGTGGACGCGGTCGCGGCGTGCGTGCGCAATTGCGTGTAATCCGATATCGCCCGGGTGACCGGCTCCCGCACGATCAGCAACAGCTTGACGCTGCCGTTCATCGCGCGGATCCTCTCGGGCACCTCGGGCGTCACGAAGTAACTGGGGCTCTTCTCGATGGTGATCTGTCCCTTGAAGGAGTAGGGCATCTTGCGGCGGTACCATTCCAGACCCTTCCCGTAGTTGTCGTCACGGTCGAAGAAGTGGACCTCGCCGGCCGCCTTCTGTATCTGCGGGTGCAGAAAGAGCATCTCCAGCAATGCCCTCGTGCCGCACTTGCGTACGCCGATTATGATGGCCTGGGGAAGATGGCGATTCGTGCGCGGGAAGTGAACCTTGGAGTTGGAGAAGATGAGGGGCGGCGACGCGCGTACCTGTCATAAATCCACCACATACATGGCAGTCTGGTACTGTCTGCGGAGAGACATTCGCGAAATGCAATTTTTGTTACGAGAGACACGTTACCTGAGAAACCAGCTCGACCGTGCGTCCTTCGACGGCGGAGACCGCGTGGAGGCTGTAAACGGCGCTGTCGTAGAGTATGTGGAAGGTGAGGAAGAGAGACAGCAGGGCGACCGATAGAAAAGCGACGGCCATTTTCGATCTGGATACGCCGACCACTAAAATGCAATCCGACGCGTCACCCTCGGCCGGCCTCATGGTGGAGCGGGGCATCCACCTGCGGCAGACAATCGAGAAACGCCTGTCTCGCCGGATATTCAAAAGTTTCAAAGTGCCGAGACTCAGTCGAGCTCGATTCTCTCGAGCACGAGCCTCCACTCTGAAAGGTTCTCAAAGGGCAATCGCGTTTCTCCCCCTCGTTTTTCCCTCCTCTTAGCACGCAACAGCGCCGTTAGTTACGGGCGACGTCTCTAATCTATTCTTTCTTCGCCGAGGCGCGGTAGGAATGATTAAGTCTCAGCGTGATCGTCGATTATTACAGTGCGCCGCGCACGCGGATACGATGCACGGATATCTCGCGGGGCGTCCAATTTACAAGCCATTACAACTCCCTAAGTCCTCTGCACGATCCGATTTATCGGGAACGAATCGGAAGGGAGGGAGGGTTAAAAGTAACGGATTATTTAACGCAGGCCGCAGGTTTATTTTCCGCGCTCTAAAACTCTAACTAAGCGAGTAGAAACAATTTTGGGCCACCGCAGTGGCTCGTGACCGATAATTATGCAGCTGATTGGCATTTACACGAAACGCTACGGTTGCCGGCGCAAATTTATCGCGGGAACGCTCGCGTGACAGACGAACAAAGCGGTTGTCAATGCCGCGCGCTCGCTAATTTCGTTCGCCATTGAATGCGGGCTCAAAAGGATCGATCGGCGGATTTACCGGCGATTCCACCGAGTCATACGTTAGGATTTCGTGGCCTCTGCCCGCGAACGATAAATCATCGACCCGCATGCTGTCCCGTGAGCGAAAAATAATGGGCGATTAAACTCGAACAATCTTACAAGACATTACGTTACTGTACATTACATATTTACGTATCTTTACCGGCGTGTATTATCGACAATCGTGCCGAGTCATCGTTTCCCACATTTATCCTCGCTGAAAGACGCACGTCTGGATTATAGATGACAAAAATTGATAACGTTCTCGACTTGCCCCTCCCTCCTCCCAGATTATATTTGTTAACGTTGCTCGAGGTGAGACATTTACAGCATTAGCGCAACAGGCATGTAAATTACATGTTCTCGCGTGAATAAAGATCCCACGGCGAAAGTCGTCCGCGGCGAGCGTAGCCCCCCGAAGAATGAATCAAAATTCACGAGTGACGAAACTTGTACTCGAGAGCTCTTAAACTCCGAATAGCTAATGAACTTCTGAAACGAGACACGGGGAGGACGGGGGGGAAGGCGAAAGGGGGGAAGATCGAGGAGGCGCGGAGGATCGATCCGGTGTAAATGATGCAGAAAGGTCGGTACCCCTGAGACAGAGCGCAATCTAAATTTGATGCGGCTGCATCTTGTATTCCGATGTAATGGCTCCTCCAACGTTTATTGCCCGATGCGCCTCCAGCCGCGTTACATCATCGGTTTCACGTTGATTTGTCAGAATAATCGAGTACGTATACCCGCGCGCGTTTCTCGTCGCGTCACTTTTAGTCTTAATTGCAGCTCGAGACGCAATTAGCGAATCTATCGCTAACGAAGTCGTGTTCTATCCTCCATCTTTTTTATTCCGTTTACATCTTCCCCTTCGCGTTCGATGATGTTACGAAACTGCGCACGTTCGAAAGAGATTGCGGGTATTTACGGGTGTTTGCCCGGACTTTCTTCTTTATCCGTAACTAGATACTTGATGTTACGAACGACTCCGCGCGTATCGCGTATCCACGCAGACGCTTTAATATTATATTTTTAACGAGCCCTTCTCTCCGCCCCTCGCTCCGCTCGCGAAATACGCCCGGAATAACATTCGCGTTACAGTCGACTCCCTATTGCACAATGGGAGCCATTTGACGCGCAAGTTTTCTAGCTAAAATTTGCTTTGTGCCATTGCGTGGCGCGGTGTGGCGTGGCGCGGCGCGGCGCGGCATGGCGGCAGGCCGAGGTGTTTCCGTGGGAAATACGCGGCCCGTGTTATTCGGACAAATTGCAATTTCCAGAGTTGCCTTCCGCGTCGTTGCGCTCCTAGCGAAGCTCGGCACTCACGACTATCGAAACGACTAGCTATTTACTTATTGCCGTCGTAGCGTATCAACGTGTAATTATACGGCCAGGCAAATTTACATAACGCATTAATGTAGGTAAACTATCGAGACGAGCACTTCGGAGCGCGACTTTACTTTGAACGGGCGTGAAATTTGATGCCTCGTTAAAGATAAAGATAACTGGTGTTAAAGATAAAAAGAAGGATTGCAACACACGATGTGATCTTCCGTTCCGTTAAAATTGAACATTATCTCGTGAGCTAATTCAATGAACGTAGCCGCGGAAAGTAGCAATTTTCTCGTCAGGAGGACAAGCGCGGAAACTTTAATTAACTAATTACATACGATTCTCTCGCCCGCGGATTCCGCAAGGTACCGACGTAATTGAATCGAGCGCGAACGGAGGAGAGATATATCGAGATATATTTCCCGTACAGTTTTAATCGGAAAATCCCTTCGATACTTACAAGACATCTATGGGGGATTGAGGAGACCACTCTTGACGAGGCCGTGCCTTGTTGGGCATTTGCGTTTGTTTGTACGTTCACATTGTGGGAGTTTCTGAAACAACCAAACAGACCATCTTGTTAGAAATACGTTGGACAATGTATACACTCTGTCACTCTGTATCTAATAGCGTCTAATGGTCTTACAACATAGTTCGAGCAATGTAATTCGCCCTGCATCGCGATATTTTAAATGGCATCGTTATTCCGCGATGCAGCAACGCGCTAAAATTTTGAGAGTTTCACTTGATAAATAATAACAGCATAGTTTTTCGTGGCAACAATAGGGGCGTTAGGACGGTGCTATGGGGAAATCAAATGCTTTTCAGGAGGTCCCTTGGTGACCCAGTTGCGCGACTCGAAACTTGCATAGGGCGTAAATAGAATCACTCCGGTGGAATGGCAACTTTTCTCATTCTAAACTGTCTGTTCGCGTACTGTTAAAAGCTCCGTAAATATATCGCAAGCACATCTCAGTTTTATATCTCCATCTTATATTGCGTCTTATATATTTTGTTAATCACGTGTCAAGCTTCGTAACGTTCATCGCAGGATTTATATAGCGCGAACGTTATTACGTTCATCGACACGGTTAATGTCTTTACCGTTAAAACAGCCGTGTGCACCTCCCCGATATATCCTCGGATATATCTTTAAAACACCGTAAACGTTCCGTTCCTCGAGAGAAACGGGAAACGATATCGATTTATGTTCTATACGTTTCCGTGTCTTTATGTCTTTCTCATAAATAAGCGGAGATTGCGTTTTCTACGGAACAACCAATTCTTATCGAGTATATATCCAGACTTTTGCTCATCGAGCGCGCGCGCGGCTCTTTGGAAAACGACGCGACGGATGCATCGGCGCATAAACACATGTATCCATTTATCTACACGACATTACGACGCGTGTACCATTACGCTCGTTGATATATCGCCGTGTTCTATTCGAGAGGGAGATGATGATCTATGCACTCGTACATTCGCGTTTTTCCGTTGCGCCACGCGGGTCGAGTACACATAATACATAAAACACCGATGTATAGGATAAAAAAAAGAATATATATAGAGAAAGAATCGAATTTCCTACTGCTGGCCTTGAATACATTCCAGAAACCTATATCGATCGGATAATGCACTTGACGGAGTTGCACTCCGGGGTTGCTGTCGATTCGTTTTGCCACGTAACTATTTTCATCTACGTCAGTCTGGTGACCGTCTGACCGTTGCACGAAATAACAAGGACACGTCGCCGTCGCGTCGCCGTCGCGTCGCGTTGGGGGATGAATCGATATATCGAATGCACGGGGCTCCGGGGACGGGTATGATGTAACTCACGACATTCTTCCGCTTGCGTAACATCGACCCTCCGCGAGACGACGAGAGTGTGGATAGAAGATAGAATTAGAGACGAGCACACTATATACGGAAACGAAATTACGCTCTATTTATCGTCGAGACGCTCTCGGCGCGCTACCCGGACATTCCGCTCGCTCCGTTCTATACTCTTTTTGGATTTGGAGCTGGGACGGAGGAGCTGGGACTTGATATCCTTGACAAACCGAGAGTATCATCGTCAGAGACGGATAAGATGGTCTTATGCATGGAAATGAGGAATTAAGGTAAAAAAGGATATCAAAAATTCAGAACCTAAACGCCGCCCCAAGGTGAGAACAAGACAAGAAGTTAATTCTCAGACATTCCTTCGAGAATGATTTTTATCTTCGGCTTTGTCTCCCTTGGAATTTGACCTCGGATTAATCAAATAATACCTATAACTAGATAGAAAACGTGGTAATGACAATGTTGCATGTGTGTTTAAATAATGGTAACAGCAGGTAAATAAATAGTAAATATCGATCGTAAATTTTCTATCCAGTATTCTATCGCATTTCGCATCGCAAAAAAAAAATATATATATATCTGTACTTTATAGGTAAAGAATGGTAACTTCGTTATTAGAAATTTAAAGAAAACAAGATTTAAAGTTGATTATTTCTATGAAAATTTCCAATACGACTTGTTTAAAACGTTGTATTTTAGAAACTAGTAATAATGAACATAAGATCCTTTACCATTATACAATTTTAAACTCCTGATGGTATATTGGAAAAAGTATTAACTCTAATTTTGACAAAAACTGGAAATACGATTCTTTACTTCTAAGGTTCAGACATAAGAACAGGAGGATATTATTATTTTCTTAACGGTTATTATTCTTCCAAATAGATTCACAATGTATTCGCAGAATACATGTAAATTCCAGTAGATTGCATGATTTCTGGTCAGCGTCTATGAAAATCGTTCAAGGGTTACCGCTACTTTAACGACCGCTTTGGAAGTTGCCGGTCGATGTGTCTGAAGCACGCGAAAACGGTAAAAGTTCGGCCGCGCCGTGCCGGCAACGGCATAAGGTAGCGGCTGCGCCCGCAATCGATACTTTCCCAGAAATTTGCAAGTATGTCGTGAATTTGACAAATCGGTTAAACGGAGCGAAAACATTTTCCCATTCGACCGCACGAAGGTGTATAGGAATAACATGGAAAAACAGCATTTCTGTGTTCTTGCACGGAAAATAATATTCCGTCTTGTATTTGATACGATCCCAGTCGGATACGATCTCCAAAATTGTTGAGGTAAAAATAGCACCTGTATACAAGACGTTACATTCGTGTTACCGAAAAGAGATTTGGGATTGCCAAAGGGTTGGCGATTATGCGGATTGTGCTCGAAATTGAACGTCGCCAGATAAGGCAGCCTCGAATAAGTTTGACGGAAACGGCCATTTAAATAACGGCACGGTAATCGAGATTTGCGTCCAAACTTACTTTCCCTTATCGAAGGGTCAAATTATTCTGCGGGCCAATGAAAAGGCGGCATTGCCGAGATAACGCGCCATTTATCAGCAAAGGGATGCCCGTTCCTATTTTAGATAAATGTTATCTCTGTGCCGCGGCTAAGCTTCGTAAACGTGTACATATAAGTATAGGATTAAGCGCGAACCTGTATCTCTTATGCGAAGCCAAATGAGGCAAAGGAAGATCCTTCAGAAAGGATTCGATTGCCTTAACTGATTTTGAAAGCTAACGAGAGACTTCTTAGATGCAGCACGATTTCTGGAATCCGCAGTACTATGCTTTCACAGTTCTCTCTTTCTCTCTCTCTCTCTCTCTCGTCAAAAATACTTGACATAGTTTCCGATTTCATCATCGAGTGCCCTTCATCGACACATTTCTGCTATATAATCCAAGAAGCGGAGGTCAGACGTCCAAAGGTTATATACTTTCCACATATACGGTGAACCTTGAACTTGCTCGACTCGTTTTTCCACGTTTTAAATTCAGCAGATTTCACGTTTTATCCCAATCATTTAATCGTGGCCCGATGAAATCCGATAAAATATCCCGGCCGCGAAATGTACGTGAACGTAAATCGATATTTTTTTTCGTATTTCACCTCGTGGCGCGCGGTTTACTTTGCAGTTGTAAATTCTTAATTTAGCACGAATCTAGTTTAAATTCAGTGGGACGCGTATACCTGGCAAGCACGAATTCGAACATAGCGTGAACGAAGCTTCGGCCACACAATTCGCATAATCGATGCTGCAAACCCGATTATGGTAATTTGCAGGGTTAGATACAGCTCGCGCTTTAAAACTTTAGAAAGCAGCCGGCGCAACTAGAACCGCTTCGGTCTTTTCAAGGACAGAGACGCGTTCCGTTATCTCGGAGTATCCTTTGACCTTTCCCATCCACATTATACCCGTAGTCATTCGGTTATTTAGTATATCCGGCCACATGAATAACGTATAAATATCTATGGCATTAAAGTCACTGACGATGAATCGGAAAGATTTTCCCCGAACGTGTGTGTTACATCGTTTTTGTCGTGTCTTTTACATAAGTAACACGCAATAATTTACGTTACGACAAGTTAGGAAAATGAGATTTTGCTCCAGCGCGCGTGCGTTGATATCGGATAATTGCGGTGTATGATCGATATACCCCGCGGTAGAATCTCTCAACATCTCGCCGCAAATTACGTAATTATTCATAACGCGAATGGCGCTAAAGCATCCATTATGTTTGACCAGAAAACCGATACCGTGTTACCAATCATGTCGTAAAGAAGAAGAATTTCAGGTAATGATATTTGAATTGTTCATACAAATCGGGACTACCATTTACAGAATGAATTTTTCAGCAACTGAAATTGGAGTCTACCCTCGAGACTAAATTGAGTTTATTTAACATTCAATTGTACTTAATGTTTTATCTTTGCGCGGTCAGACCTTTTAATATGGAAAGCTCTCCTGAACTAAGAGATTCGAATCATTCCCCTGTTCTCGTTATTCGGACCACGCGATGGTCCCGAAATAAGATACGCGCAAAAGAAGAAAAAAAAGATCGGTTATGCATACTAATGAGACAACTCCGATGATGATGCCGGTGATAACGTTTATATTTGTATGTAAAAGCAAAGAGGCGGCTAGAGATCTCTCCACAGGGAGGATGGACTAATTGCGACTGTTTAGTAGCTGCAAAAAAACAATAAAACTAAGCGTCACTTAGAATTATTCTCCATCTATCTCCTAAAAAAAGGAGAAACACGGAGATATCTCCGGTTGTCGATATTTGGATGGGAGATTATTCAAATCGGACAAGGGTTGATCTTACCCTTTTGTCGAGAGTCAGAGGTCAGGGATTGGAGATTGAGTTGTGGGGCATCGCGGGCGCAGACCTCGCAACCTCTTCGTGACGCGTTCATTAATCGGAGTTGCGTAGGAGAATCGAGCTGTACACGTGCGCGCGTGAGCGGCGTAGGCGTACGAACGATCGAGAGGGTGGTAAACGTAAGCGTAGTAATAGTAGAGGGGTAGTAGTAGCGACGTTCTACTCCGTCCTAACCTGGCCTGGCTTATTGCCGCCAGACTGATAGAGAAAGAGAGACAGAGAGAGAAAGAGAAAGAGAAAGAGAGAGAGAAAGAGAGAGCGCATGCGCACTCGTCGCTGCATACGGCCACTGAGTCAAGGTCTTGCCGACTGGCGATCGACCT